CATCCAAGTCACACAGGACGAGGAGCCGGACGGAGATTAAACCAGGAACAGTTTAATTGTCTGGCTTTCTCCCTCCGGTCCCCCACTGTTAGTATCTCTACAAGAATAAAGGATTCCTGAGAGCCCGTCCCCTCCTCTCCCTGGGCCCTCCCCCGTGACAGGACTCATCCCTACCAACCCCCCTGGATTTCTGGGGGGAAAAAGACAAGTGAAAGGCACTGCAGAGGCCGGGGCTGGAGTGCCAGGGAGCCTGAGGGCTGGTGCGAGGGTGGCCAGGCCCCAAGTCAGCCTGCAGGGATGGGGTGGGGGCTGAGGCAGCTTCGGCGTTCGGGGCCCTGCCTCCCAGCCCGGCCCCAGCGGGGAGTGCAGCAGGAACGGAATTAGTGTCGGGCTAAGGAGGCGTGGTGGCCCACTCTATAGGACCCAAGGACCAAACCCAGGGTGGGGACTGCAAATAACTATAATGCTCAAGTCTGTCGTCGTTGGGGGTTAAGGGGAGAGGAGCTGAACAAAATGCGCGTTATGAGACCCCCCAGCCTGGGGACCAGGCAGCAGCAGTGACCCAGGCTCCCGAGGAAGGGGGAGGGGGCCAGTCAGTCCAGGTCTGGGACCTAGTTGTCCCCGCTGCCTCCTTGCCGAGCCCTGATGAACGCCATGCCGTGGGTGCGGAAATGGGTCTTGAGGTTGAGGGGGCTGTCACAGCTCTTGCCGCAGACCTTACAGGTCAGTGGGCCTCCAGAAGCAGGTGAGGGTGGCTCTCCTCCGTCTGGGTCAGACCTCGGAGTGGGGGCCTCTTCGTCTCCGGCCCCCAGGCCCAGGGCAGCGGCACCCCCGCCGCGCTTCTTCTTGTGGCTGATGAAGCGGTGCCGGCTCAGGGAGCCAGGGGAGGCGAAGCACAGGCCGCAGTCGAGGCACTGCTGGGTCCCGCCCTCCACCCTCAGCCCCACCATGAGGCTCTGCTCCAGGGGCCCAGCGCTCCGGTAGCGCAGTGGGCCGCCCGGCCCGGGTCCGCCCCTGGGGGCCTTGGCTGGCGGGGTTGTGCTGTCAGGCTCCTCACTGCAGGAGTCGGAGGACTGGCGGCGTTTCAGTCCTGGCCCCTGGAGCAGAGAGTGCAGAGAGTGGGCCCCCCATCACCCCCAGTGACCCCAGCATCCCAACCGAGCTCCGGAGGCCGGTCTTGAGCCCTGCAGGTGCCCACGGCCCAGACAGTAAGGCGGGCCTGCGCCTACCTGGGCTCTGGCACCGGGGCCCCGAACCACAATGCTCCCCCGGCCAGGGGACTGGGCCCCGAGCGGCAGGCCATGCCGGACCTGGACGTGCTTCTCCAGGATCAGGCGGCTGCTGAAGGTGCGCTTCCCCTCCGTGCAGTACCTGGGGGGAGCGGGCGGGTGGGCGCAGGGCTCCAGAGGGCGTCCCCAGGGCAGAGGGAGGCCTCGCCCTCCGGTCCACTCACAGAGGCGGGTGGCAGGCACTCTGGGGGGGCTGTGGCTGGGCCCGCAGGGGATGGAGGAGGGCAGGGTTACCTGCACGGGTACACTCGCTTGATGCCCTCGTGGTTGACCCGGACGTGGCGCCGCAGGCTGGGGGCCGAGCAGAAGGAGCGCTCACACAGGCGGCAGGGGAACTTCTTCACCGACTGGGACAGCAGGGTGGGGATGCTCAGGGCCAGCTCTGAGACGGCCCCACTGCCACGCGGGCTGAGCCCAAGGCCGCCCCTGCAGCCCACCTCGCTCACCTTGCCATGCTCCTTCTTCATGTGGGCCACATACTCGTCACGCTCAGGGAACCAGGAGTGACAAAGGCCACAGGTCCAGCCTCCAGGGCCCCCACCTCCAGCCTTGGCGCCTTTGGTCCCCAGGTCCCGCCGGGGCCGTCTGGTTGGACGAGGGGGCTCCGGGGAGCTGGGTACTTCCTCCTCTTCGGAGGATGAGGACGACACCTCCACAGGGGGCGCCGCCCCTCCCCGAGACACAGCCCGCTCCTCGGGCTCAGCCTTGGGGGTCAGAAGGGCACCCTCGGCCCCTTTCCCGGCAGTCTCCTCCCCTGAGCGCCCAGACTGGTGCGTGTTCTGCGAGGAGGAGACCGGGGGCGGCTGTGGGGGCCTCGCTGAGCCAGGGCCCCCTCTCCCCCGCCCCCACTTCCTGAAAGCGAGGCGACCCTGGCAGCAGGCAACGCAGCTGAGCACCCCGCCTCCATCCCCGGGCTCCTGTACCTTGAGATGCTCCAGCATGGTCCTTTTTTGGGCAAAAAGCAGAGGACAAGACGGGCACTTGAAGACGCTGACGCGCTGGGGCAGCAGGTGCTGGTCGAAGTGTGAGGAGAGGAGGGGCTTGTGAGTGAAGACCGTGTCGCACATGGCGCACTTGTAGATCATCCTGTGCGGGGAGAGGACAGTGCAGACACCCTGGCCCGTCGGGGCCCCCCTCCGGCCCACCCCCCACCCCCGGGTCTCACTTGGCCTGCTGCGCGTGGAAGCTGGGGTGCTGGGTGTAGAGGTGGGCGTGGGCGCTGGGTGCGGACTTGAAGGCCATGGGGCAGATGGGGCACTTGTGGAAAACCTCGCAGTGTGACGTCTGGATGTGCGACTTGATGGAGTTCACACCCCCAAACACCACTGCACAGCTGGGGCACCTGTGGGGACACGGGGCGCTGTGTGAGGCGGGCCGGCTCCGTGCCCTGCCCGCCCATGTTCATCCTTGGGGACAGGGTGGGCTCTGAGCTCGTGGGTGCTGGAGCCTGAGCGAGGCGGGGAAAGGAGGGAGCTGTGGAGACCATGTTCCCAGGGGAGGCCGGTCGAGGCAGCACTGAGCTCCGGAGGGGCCCTGCTCCACCTCCCGTCACCGGATGTGGACAGGCTGACCGCAGGCTGTAGGTGCCAGCACGCTGGGGCCGAGGGCCGGAGCAGGGAGATGGGGCTCTCTAGAGGCAGGTGCCAGGAACCCTAAGGCCCGCAGGTGCGTGGGGGAGCCCATGCAAGGGCGGACAGGCGCGAGGCACCTGTATCCTACACGGCGGGAGAAGTGCAGACAGGCTTCCCGCAGGTGGGCCTGGAAGCTGGCTTGCAGGAAGCTGTCCCCGCACTCGGGGCAGACGTGGGGGGCCCGGTTCTTGTGCATGCGCTGGTGCGCGCTGAAGCTGCAGCGATTGGAGAGCATCATGGGGCAGGTCGGGCACACCTGTCGAGGGGTTGGAACGAGGCACGTCGGGGAGGAGCGGCCTGTCCCCCTTACGCTTCCTAACCAAGCCTCTCAGGCCTTCCTCGATCCCATGCCCATGGCGCCTGACAGTCCCCTCCCCAGGGAAGGGTGGTGAAAGGCAACTCACGTTGCTGGTGGCCCCGGGGGCAGGAGGCCCGAGCTGCTGGAAGTGGGCGGCCATGCCGGCCCTGTCGCGGCACTGCTCCCTGCACTCCAGGCAGCGGAAGCACGTGGAAGCAGAGGTGGCGGGGGCGGCCGGCGGCTCGGCTGAGAGCGGCAGCACAGGGGCTTCGGCAGCAACCGCGGCAATGGCGGAGGCGATGGCCCCGTCGCCCTTGCCCAAGGCAGGCAGGACAGCCAAGGCCGGAGGTCCGAGGGCGGGCGGGACAGCCAGCAGGGGCGTGACGTCCGGCTGCCCCACCATCTGGTCAAGGGCCACGGGCCTCATGACCAGGTGCGAGCACTGCATGACCAGCCCCTTCTCCTTGTGCTCGCGCGCGTGCAGCAGCAGGCTGCACTTGTTGAAGAAGACCAGGCGGCGGGCGCAGTGGTTGCAGGTGACCTCGATGCGCATGCTCCGGCGGTCGTAGTGCCGCGCCAGGCTCTTCTCCAGCGAGAAGGCGTCCCCACACTCCAGGCAGCGGTAGCCGCTCGGGGGCAGGGCCAGCCCGGCCTCAGCCGGCGGGCTCAGGTTTGGCCGGTAGGCCGGCAGCAGGTTCTTGCTGTTGAGGATCTTGTTGAAGGCCTCCACCAGGCTGGACTGGGTCCGCGAGATGACCGTGCCGCCCCCGGCGCCCGGCGCGGTGGCCGGCTTGGAAGGCTGCACCATCACCACGGAGGCGCCGTTCACCTTCTGGCCCCCCGTCCCCAGCCCTGCCCGCCCCTCAGCCTTGGGCAGGGCTTGGGGCACCAGACCCAGCACATTCTTAGCCATCATCTTCGGGCTGGTAGCGGTGCCCCCAGGTAGAACCACAGCTTTGCGGGCCACACTGGCCGCCATCAACATGGCAGTACTCGCGTTCTGGATGGTGGCCACAGGCAGCACAGTGCCCTTCAGCCTCGTGCCATCACCCAGCTGGACGCTCACCACCTTTGGAGCCTCAGGGGTCGGGGCTACAGGGGACAGCTTCAAGAGGCTGGCCTCGGCCAGGAAGGTCCCCTCAGCCAAAGGGGCAGGTGGATCAGGGTCTGAGGGGACCCGGGTCACGGTCCTCGTGACACTGCCGCAGGATGTTTTGATGGTCTTGATCCGCACCTTGAGGGGCCTAGAGGAGCTGGAGGAGGCAGGGGAGTCATTGCTGTCCTCGTCGGCAGCCTCGGCGCCACTAGAGGGGCTCTGGGGACTTGCCGTGGGGGACTTGTCCACCGGTCCCTCGTCCTCTTCCTCCTTTAGGGGCTGACAGCTGGGCACCTCTGGGGAGGCAAGAGGGCTGTGGTGCCCTGGAGACTGCTTGAAGAAGGGCCCCCCGGCAACCCGGGGAGGCGAGGCGCTGGCAGGGATGCCCGCAGCCTCAGGGCTCAAGCCCGAGGCTCGCTGGGCTGGGCCCGGGGGGTGGAGGGGGCTGCAGCCGCCTTGCTTCAAGGCACCCAGCAGTGGGGGGGAACCAGGGGGCAGCAGGGCCGGGCCATTCTCTCGGGCCAGCTCAAAGGGTGAGGGGAAAGGAGGTGGGGTCACGGCCCCTTCCCGAGGTGGGGAGGGTGCAGACAGAGGCAGGGGATCGGGGTGCTCTCCTGACTCAGGCCCAAAATGATCAAAGAGGTCCAAAGGAGCTTTGCCTTCCGTGCTGTTCTCTTTCCAGGAACCCACACTAGGAGGAGCTGGAGGGTGGGGAGTTCCCGGAAGGGATGGCTCAGGGCCCCCAAAGCCGTTTTGCATCAGACGAGGTCCCACAGGCCCTTCCTTGGTCACGCCCCCGGCCCCAGCCTCTTCCCCTTCTGAACTTCCAACCAGGGACTCAGACTGCTCAGGACACACAGTGTTCTTGACAATGACGCTGACTGCTGAGATGTCCGCTGCCGGCAGGCCAAGGTCAGAGGCCTGGGCTGGAACCCCAGGGCCATCCCCAGGAGCTGCTGCTGCTGCTTCTCCAGATTCACCCCCTACACTGGGTTCTGGCTTCACTGAGCCTCCTGGCCCCTCGTTTTCTTCCGGCCCAGAGTGGATGGCTTCATTTGCATCAATGTCGGGGATGTCAAAGGCGGCAAGGAGGTCGTCAAAATCAGGGGTCTTCATGTCTCCCATGGCGGCAGATCCCTGGCCTGATGAACAGGAAGGAGAGGGAGAAACTGAGACCTCCGGAAGCAGGCGCCCTGGACCTCCTCCCTCCGCGTCTCCACGTTCACGCGCTCTCGGAACCCGCGCTCACTCCGACGTGGCGGACCAGCTCAGTGCGGATCCGAGGGCTGGTTGGAGGCACCTGGTTCGCCAAACCCTAAAACTGAAAGGAAGGCAGGGTGTTCTTTCCAGAGAAGACACCAAGGGCCGGAGAAAGAGAAGAGATTCCTGAGAAACACAGGTTACGAGATGAGGGTCGCAGAGGGAGTCCAAGTATCTTGGTTGAAACCACCACAGTCCTTCCTGTGCCCAGCACAGAATCAATCGATTAATCAATACTACTATCAAGAAGAATGGACACGACACTCTGGGTGTAAGGCTTCATTCATGCAGGATGGGATCCATCTATATTCTTCATGGATCTTCTTAGGGGGGGCCACAGAGTTCTGAAAACCATGTGTACAGAAGGTCTGGGACCTAAGCTAAGACACAAGGAATGGTTCTAGCTCAAGCCTTATCAATGGCCTGCTGGATAAGTGAGTTACTCCACTCCCTTTTGCTGTTCAAATGAAAGAGGGGGCAAGTAATCCATATATCATAGGGTTATTCTGAGCATAACATGAAGTTGTAAACGTGAGAGTCAGAACCCAGGATACAAGTAATTACAGCTGAGACCAACAAAGCATGTCACGATGACGGGGCCTGGGAAGGACTAAGCACTGGAAATCTAGGGCCGGGGTCATTGCAAGGTCAAGTCTGAAGCACTTGGGGTCATCACTGGCACCTGGAGACCTAGCTTGGTTAAGAGGGAGAGAGGCAGACTAAGAGAAATCGCCCAAGAGACCAGGATAGATTAAGACGAAGGAACAGAAAGACAAAGAGACAGAGAGGAAAACCCTGAAGGCAGCACAGTCACAAGGGCCTCAGCCTAGGCCTCTGCTGTCACAAACACCTGGTGCTCCCTCACCTACCTTCCCCAGAGTGCCTCTGGCCCTCCCCTGGCCCTCCCCAGGCCAGCCCCTCCTCCCTCTCCACCTCGCTCTCTCAGGGCTAAAACTCCAGGGTACCCGGTTATCCAGCACAGCTGCCCCCATGGGGAAGAGCCAGGCCCCTCGCCCCTGCCATCTCACCTCTGCTCAGAGCTCTTCGCCCCAGTCTGTCCCCTAACTCACGCTCCTCACCCTTTTAATTTTCCTTTGGCAACAGCAGCCCAGGAAGCCTCACCCAGCCCAACCTGGCCCAATACAAAAAGAAAAAAAATCCCACAAGACTTATGTGTCACTAAACCAACAAGAAGGCCAGCCTAGGGCCGGTGGGGGACCCAGGTCTGTTCCCTACCAGTTTCTCCCACAAGTGTTTCTGTATCTAGGAAGAAGCAACAGAGGAAGTGCTGGCCCTTAACGCTCTGTGCCCAGCTTGCGAGCCATTTCTCAGGGCCAATCCTCTCACCTCTTGCCAGCCTTACACTGTAACTGGAGATAGTCCCAGCAGGTGGCAGCTGGCATTGCTGGGACCAAGGTGGGGGTGGAGGGAGAGGGTACCAATTAAGAGGAAGAAACAGGGGTCCTCCCCTCACCCGCCCCCCCAATTCTGCAGGCTCTGGGTTTAAACAAAGCCCTCCACCTCTTGCCTCTGCCGGGGATGGATCACTAGGCCCTCCTCCCCGCTGCTCTGCCCGCCTGGAGGCCTGGCCACCATACTCAGGGCCACGGAAAAGTGGGCTGGAGGATCACAGATCAGCGAGGACAGTGAGAAAACATCTGCAAACTCGCCTCCCCCAGGCAACCCCCCCTTGGGCGTCCAAGTGACTTAGAGGTCATCCGATAGCCAGGAGCAGACAGTAGACCAAGCAGAGGAGCTCAAGGCCGAAGAGGCTTCCCCACCCCCCTGCCCAGGCCTTTCTGCGGCTGCTGCGCCCTGTCTCTTGGGCTCCAGCCCCCCGCCCTTTCCCTCTGTTCTTCCCCAAAACCAAAGGAAGGGGCTGAACAGGAAGAGGGAGAACTGGCCGGGTCGGTTGGGGGCTCCACTGCCCTTTCCCGGGCCGGGGCCTGCCGCGCTGAGGAGGGCGAGGGGCCGGCGGCCGGGGGCGATTAGACTGCAGCCAAGCTGGGCAGCGGGCGGAATTAAGTCCCTGCCATCTGCCGAGGGCCGGCGCCGGGAGCACGTCCCGGGTTGCGGGGAAGGGGCGGGGTGGACATAGGAGAAGCCAGAGGGGAAACTGAGGCGTGCGGCGCTTCTCTCGCTCACACCCGCGACCGAAGGGAGGGGACCGGCCAAGGCCAAGCCAAGCCCTTGGGGAGCCGCAGCGCAGCGCCTCCGGGCGCAGGACCACACACGGGAGGGGGCAGGCGCGTGGAAAGAGAGCAGTGGGGAGGGCACGGTCTTTGCGAGACTCGCAGCTCCCCAGCCGGGGTCCGTCCCAACTCCGGCCTCCCCTCGCCCCCCTGCGCAGCTCAGCCTCCTCCTCCCCCTGACTCCCGAGGCTCCCTCGAGGTTGTGGAGTGAGCAGGAGAAGCGTGGCGGCCCGGGGCGCGAGCCGGAGTCCTGCCCGGGCCCGGACGCTGACCCGCGCCCAGTCGGGGTGCAGGCTCTGCTCCGGCCTGCCCAGGTCCCCCGCCCCCACCCCCGGACACGGACACCATTTTAGGTCGCGACATCCTGCAGCCTCTAGCCCCCGGGCCACGTTTCGGACGCCCCTTGGGCTGGGGGCGCCAGGACTTGGAGACCCCGACCCTCCCTCCACGTTTACCCGGCTAGGGGCTGTGCTTTCAACAGGCTGGGAGTTTCGCCCATCCGCCCCAAGCAACAGAGGCGGTGTCCCGGCCTTCTTAGAAGCAGCCCCAGGGGGGCGGCGCGGAGAAGGGGGTAGTTGACCAAGTGGGGGAGGGGCGGGGTATTTACCCGCCCCCTGGGGGCGGGGCCAGGGGCGGGTATTCACCCCGGGCACGCTTACTTGTTTGGCTCCCAGTGCGGGCCGAGCCCCGGCGGTCTCTCCCGTGCTCCAGCCTCTGCCGCCGCCGCCGCCGCCACCGCCCTCCCCGCGGCCGCCGCTACTTCCTGCTTCTCTCCCGTTCAGCCTTCCCCTCCCTTAGCTCCCTCTGCGTTCCCGGTCTGGGCTGCCCGCTTTCGTACTCGCCATTGGCCAAGCGCCCCGTCGTTCAGCACGGCGCCCCGCCCAGCCCCGCTCTGGGTTGGTCTTAAGTACTGCCGCTCGGAACTAGCCCCGCACAGCCTTCCCAGCCTCATTGGGCAAGGAACCTGGTCCTTCTGAAGATGCCTCTCGCCATTGGTTGTGCCGGGGCCCAACCTGCCCCATTTGTGCGTCTCAAAAGCGATTGGCCGCCGGTACTGTCGTTTAGGAAATAGCCAATCTGATTCCCCGCTTTCCTACTGGAGGCGGTGACTACCCAGGTGCGTCTCCGCCCCCTCACTCCCTATTGGCCGCGATCCTGAATCCCGCAGTTCACTTATGCAAATTTAAGGAACGCTCAGCTTCTATTTGGTGAATACTTTGAGGGGAACCTCTTCGACCCTGAAGGGACCCCGGATGTGTAGATCGGTTTGCGCTTTCTCAAGCTAAACCCCAATGTCAGTCATGCAGTGCAGAAGTCACAGAATGGGATGTCACCCAAAACATTACGTCATCTGATTGACCATTTCCCCGCGGTTTTCCTACTGTCTAAATCGCTATCTAATCTAGATGGATGAGGTCCTCGCGCGGGCCAGCTCCTGGGCAGCGGCGTCACCTATAGCTCCTCCCTCTGCGGAAAGGCTGGGAGCGCGGCGGGTTTTGGAGTGTAGAAGGAACCGGCACCTGAAGCTGGGACAGGCTTGCAGGCCGGAAGTAGAGGAGAGGTGACGTTCGAGTGCTGGCGTGGCCTGGGCCATTTCCAGGGGGATCTTAAAGCGGCATATTGGTAGGCTTCTCAAACACGGGGAGGTGAGTGAGAGAGAGACGAGCGCACGCGCGCACGCACGCACACACTCTTCCCATTTTAGAGCGCTCCCCTTCCCTGCCCCCAGCATGGGGTGGGGGCGGAGTCGAGGCCGTTTTTCCCGCGCTTTGTTGCCCCGCCCCCGAGAGGCGGGAGAAGGGGAGGGATACTCGGAAACAGAGTTGCTTTGCTGCTCCAATGAGCACGCGCTTGCAGAATTCATCGAGAGGCGCGGGGTCCGCCTCGCGCACGCTCCATCCGCGCAGCCTGCAGCGCACGCGGCTGCTCACAGCCGGGGCGTGGCTATTGAAAGTCTTTCTGTTTCCCCTGGACCCAGGACCTCGGCGCGCGCTGAGTCTGCGTAAGTGACAGCGGCTAGAGCTTCTGGATGGGGCTCTCGGGTCACCACTTACCACATGGTGCCATCTAGCAAGTCGCTCAGTCTCCCTGAACCGGTTTTCTCATGAGTAAAATGGGGATTATAATATCCACCTGACATGATCATCTGTGTGAGGATTAAAAGCGTTTAGAATTTCAAAGTGCTTTGTAAAGTGGTGGGCAAACGGGATTCGAACCCCTTACTCCTCCTTTCCGTAGGTCGCCCGCAGTCTCCAGCTCCCAGCGCCGTTCCATCTCTGAGCCACTCAGTGGCATTCTAGTCCCACCTCCTCGGAGTCTTCCTGTGCGGAATAATTACTACTCAGATACACATGTGGGACCTATTATAAGAACTGGATGTATATGAACTCATTTAATTCTTACCACAACCCCGTGTGGTAGGTACTATTATTATCTCCATTTTACTGGGAACTGGCACAGGCAAGTTAGGTTAGATGATTTACCCAAGGTCAAAGGCAGCATGGAGTTAAAACTCTTAGCATCCAGAAAGCTAAACACTATTTCACAGATTCCCTTGCCAGGAAGATTCTGGGTAGAAGTTTGTTCTTCAGTCAGATGCACTTTCATTCATTGAAGAAATAATTCAACCAATATTTTTCGAACACTGGGGTACAACAGTATTGTAGGCACTGATACAGCAGTGAACAAAGCAGATTAGAATTCCCATGCCCATGAAAATGTAGGTTCCTGTGGAGAAGACGATAAATAAGATAAATGAGTAAAATACATGGAAACAAGTTAGAATCGATCATTGCCTGGGGAAGAAAAATAAAGCAGGACTATCAAGCCATGAAAAGACGTGGAGGAACTTTAAATGCACATTGCCAACGGAAAGAAGCCGATCTGAAAGTGCCATATACTGTGAGATTCCGAGTATACAGCATTCCGGAAAAGGCAAAGCTGCGGACACAGTAAACACACCAGTGGTTGCCGAGCGTTCAGCTGGAGGAAGGGATGACAAGGTACACAGGGGATTTGGGGAGCAGTGATACTATATGATACTATACGATAGTATCTGTATGACACTGTAATAGTGGATACAGGACATTATACATTTGTCAAAAGCCCTAATGTAAACTATGGACTTTAGTTAATAATTGTGAATATTGGTTCACTAATCGTAACAAAGGTACCGCACTAATATAAGATGTAATGATAGGGCGAAGGAAGTATATGGGGATTCTTTGTAATTTCTGCTCGATTTTCCTATAAACCTAAAACTGAAAGAGTCTATGAAATTTTTTTAATGCGAAAATAAAGCAGGAAAGGAGGACAGGAAGTGTGGGGAGGGTTGCAATTTTTGATAGGGTGGACAGTGCAAGCCTTTCTGAGTAGGTGGCATTTAAGTAAAGGCTGAAAGCTGGCAAGTGAGCCACACGGCTATCTGGGACGAGAACATTCCCAGAAGAGGGAACAAATGTGAGGGCTTGAGGTGGGAGCGTGTTCCAGAGAGGTCGGGGAGTGGAAGTCCTCAGGTCATGAAATACTTTGGGGAATGTTGAAGGACTTTGGTTGTTTTCTCACAGTGGAGTGGGAAGGAGCCAAATGGCGTGGTGGCCTGAGCTTTTAAAATGGTTGGATGTGGGGTACGAAAAAGAAAAACTCAAAAGCTTGGGGCCTGAGGAAGTCAGAGAACGGTGGTGCCGTCTCCTGAGCTGGGGACACTTTAGGAGCAGGTTCTGGGGTAAGGTCATGTTTCTGTCATGTTCCATCATTACGCATCTAAGTGGAGATTTAAATTCGGGTGTCATCGGCTTACAGATAGTCTGTACAATCCAGGGAGAATGAATGAGGTCGCTAAGGGAAAGTATGAGGACGGAAAAGAGGACAAGTCCCAGGACCGAGCCGCAGGGACTCCAAGGATGAAGTCAGCAAGGCGGGAGGAAGCAGTAAAGGAGACCGAGGAAGAAGTGCAGTGAGAGGAAGGAGGGACCAGGACGGCACAGCTGTGTCCTTGAACCAAATAAAGTGTTTCCAGGGGAAGGAAGAATGACAGACTGTCATATGCCACTAAAAGATCGAATAAGATGAAGCCTGAGGGCTGACCAGTGGATTAAGCAAAATGGAGCTCATGGTGATCATGATAAAGACAGATTGGGTGGCTTGGACATTTTGGTTGTTCCAGGTTTGGCCATTGCGAACAAAACTACTACAAACATTCTTGCACTTGTATTGTGATGGACAGGTGCACAAATTTTTCTCGTGTATAGAGCAGAGTCATAGGGGATATGTATGTTTAGCTATCATACAGGGTACCCGTTTTCCTAAGTATTCCAATTGGTTAACAAAGCTGAAAAATGAGCGGGTTACACTGCAGAACCTCAGGATGATGACGAACCAGCAACATCAGGTGCCAAAAGGGAGCAGAACGGGGGTGGGGGTGAAAATAATCATCATCTCTGAGGAGGCGGAGGTGGGCTCACGAAGGCATGTTTGTGGCTTCAGATTTGTTCGTTTTTATGCTTCTCAATTTACATTCACGTTAAGCGTTTTATGTGTCAAATACTATTTATCTCTTTAAAGATAATAAAGGATTACGTGAATTTTACATTTTATTCCATCCCCTACAAAAAATCGTCCTCGCAAGTTGGTGCTCTGGGAAGTGCCGTGTTCACAGACCCCACCTGGCAGAAGTCAGGCCTCTTGGGTCCCTGATCTTTCGTTGCCTGCTGCCTGCTTTGCCATCTCTGTCTCCGCCACTCACCCAACCAGGCTCTGAGCCACTCTGTTCCCCCAATGCACATGGGCCCCATCAGCACAGACCGTTCCCACTAACTGGAACTGCCCAGCTCTTCCTTGTCGGCTGATACACTTTTTGCCATTACAGGGCTTTCAAATGTCGCCTCCAGGAGCCTTGCCGGAGGCTGCAAGCATCAGCCCTTTCTCAGCTGTTCCCCAGTGCCTGCTCAGGCCTCCCGGGGTACTTCCACAGATGTGCAGTCTCATTTCTGTGCTGGCCCTGCCCGGGCTCAGAGTCCCCAAAGGCCAAAATGCTGTATGCTATTCACCTCTGTGGCCCTAGTGCCTAACACAGTGACTCCCTGCAGTGTCTCTTAATTCCAAAGCAAACAGCCCCAGGGCAGGAGACAGGCAAGGTGATGGGAGAGGGGAGGAGGTTAACAGGTCAGGACTTAGAGATCAGGTACTGGAGACAGAGAACTCAACAGAGGAGCTCCCCTTCCCGCCACGAACCCCCTCACACTCAAAGCCACCCCTCTGTGAAGTAAAAAAGAAAAAAAAAAAAGTTGCCAAGCTTTATTTGAGTTGCAGTGGTTACAGACAACATACCGAGCCCTGTGTCCCCGCCACGCAGCCCCGAGCGGGCTCAGCTGCCCTTTCCCTCCAGTCTCATTTCTTGTCCTCCTCCTTCTTGTCCTTCTTGCCCTCCTTAGTGGCCTGGGAGGCCAGGGAGCCCATGGCATTGCGAATGGCCTCGTTGTTGGGGTCCACGCCTGGAAGGTTCTCCAGGACACTCTGAAGAAACTCGGGGTCCTGCATCACATCGTAATCATCTTCCTCCTGCAAAAGGGTGGTGTCAGCTCGTGGCAGGGGCGGGGGGCAAGTGGGCACAAGGGACATGAGCACGCTCCCGAGGGAGCCCCTCGCCTCCTGTCTGGGGCTGGGGTCACCTGGGGCTGAGGGTGGGAAGGACGACGCAGCAAACACGAGAGCCTCTACCTGCTGGGACGCGCCCGTTACTAACCAAGCGGGAGAAACCGGAGCTTTGCTTCCCGCACTCCAGGGTGAGAACAGATGCCATCGCGTCCAGGTTTCCTACTGTCGGACACCTGCTCCCCCCTTTGCTTTTTTCTAGACCCTCTTTTCACTCTCCTGGGAGGATAACATCCTAGACACCTGTCCGGACCGCTCACACCAGCAAGGAAAATTACAGGATACTGGGACACCTGTAACCTCTGATCACGAGCATCACATCACCCTCGCGAGCTTTACACAGAGAGGTGCACATCCGTGTTAGCTTCCTCCCGCCCCTCGACGAGCCCACCTGCGAGCCTGGGAGAGGCGCCATGCCAGGCCTCCAGGGCTGCGGCTCTGAGCACGAGGGGGTTTTGGGTCTGATGAGGGCAGGGAGTCATCACCGGCCCTCACCTTGGCGGGCTCTGATGTGTCCATGGCTGAACTGGCATCAATGTCAGCGGCTTCTGCCTGGCCAAACTCTGAGGAAAAGAGGCCAGCGTGTTCAGTTCCGCCCCCAGCCCCACAGCCGCCCACCTGAGCATACCCGGCCGGCCCGCGGCACCTGCGCCCTGCAGGGACATCTGCATGGCATACGCGATCTGCTCCTCCTCAGTCATGCTGCTCAGGTCAGGGAGCCCGGGGCGGCCGAACTCCTGCTGGCCGATGGTCATCTTCAGCAGCGCGTCGTCTGAGTCTGGGAACGGAAGAGAGCGGCAGGGTAGAGCTGGTGCCACGTCCCCCACAGGCCCCCTCACGGCCTTGGCCCACACAGTCCCGACAGCCAGACCCCGCTCCCACCCCGTGTCTACACCGCCTGCCAGGGAGCGCCCCGCCGTCCCGGGCTTCAGAGTCCACCTCTTTCACCTTCGGTCCCGGAAGCAGCGATCCCGGCCTCGGCCGCGGAGGCTGCAGCTGCCCGCCGCGCCTCCTCCTCCTGCCGCTGCCGCTGCTCCTCCATGGAGACGCGGAGGGCCTGGAAGGCAGGGCCCGTCAGTGCCCCGCCAAGCACCACAGGTGGGACAGGACTGCAGGGGAAGCGGGAGGGGTGACGCAGGACAAAAGGACAGCCCTGGGAGAAGCCTGGGGTGTAGTCAGAAGCGAACAAGGGTCTGGCCAGATGGGCTTACGGGGCAGCGGGGCAGAAGGCGGTCTGGGGAAAGGAGCAAGGCTGTCGAGGGCTGCGCGGCCCCGGAGAAGCAGCTATGTGACGTGCGAGTGTCAGCAGAGGAGGACAGAGCAGGAGCCCTGGGCTCCACGTGAGGTCAGCGTTTGCTCACCAGGGCCAGCTCAGGGTCAGCACTGGGATCTACTCCAAATTCAAAGTCACTGGCACCAAGACCCAGCATGGCACCGCCTTCGCCAGCCAGAATTGGAGAGCTGATGAGGGCATCGGCCAGGCTAGGCCCAGGAGGCACCGTCACCAAATGAGAACCGGTTCCATCTTTGCCATTCAGTGTGTTCACAAAGGCCGTCAGCTTCTCTGTGTTCACCTCCTGCAGGACGGAAGGGTGCGGGAGGCTTTCTCCCTGCCCCACGGCCCAGTCGCTGCCACCTCGGTCCTGCAGTGCGGGCGCTCCCCTGGGTGAAGGCTGTCCTCACCGAACCAAGCCGATGCCCCGCAGCGGGTCCGTACTCACCTCTTCCCCAAAGTTGATAATGTCAACATTTACTTTCTCCTTCTTGAGGCGTTTAGCCAGTTTCACCAGCTGGGAAGAAGGGGAGAGAAATAAGGAAATCTGTCTCATACTATGAAGGGAAGTGACGCACCTCACAAAAAGCATACGGAAATCAGCTCACCTGCCCGGGGCCCCCAACGGAAGCACCGAACGCTGCATACCGGCCTTTCCCCTCCCAGAAGTGGTGACCCCAGCGCCCCTGCCTGGCTCTCCTAAGGGCTGAGACCCGGTCCCAACCATGTGCTGCCCACTGTCCCAACCTGTCGTGTGGACTCACATCCTTCTCGTTGTCCTCCACGGGGCTCCCCACGAAGGCGATGATGCGCATCTTGTGATTCTTGCCCTGTCGGTGCTTCAGAGCCAACTTGTAAAGAAGAGGAAGTTCTCAGAGTCGGCCAGAAGAATCACTGGGCTCGCTGCTGTCACTGTCCTTTTTTTCTTGTGGCTTCCATGTATCTCAAGTCTACCACTGTGCTGACACATGCAGGTCTCAACGCCACCCTCCACCCCCCTCCCGCTGTGCCTCTCTGTGGACGAGGAAAGGGATTACTCTCTGTTCCTGGGAACCTTCCCTTCACGAAGCTCACCGATCCTGGGGTTCACCCCGCACCCTTTCTACGCCTTTCTCTAGGCCCCTCTCTTCCCTGCCTGGCTCTAGCTCAGGATTCCAGGGGAGGAATGAACAACGCGGGAAGCAGAACCTGAGGGCAAGGAGGACTCACGTGGGCCACGCGGATGCCGGTGCAGAAGGTGATCTTGCCTTTGGGCTGCACGGTGTGGAGCTTGGACAGGATGCGGCCGGTGTCGGGGGTGAGTGTGGTCAGCACCTCACAGTCACTGGCAGTGGGGAAAGCATTTCCGCCATTTCAGGTCAAGACAAGGGCCTCCAAACTGTCTGACTCATCTTTCCTTTAGAGACTTTGATAATAACTGTAATCGCAATTTTTCCTAATCAAACATTTAATGTTTACAGAGATCTTAAAATTCCTCATCACGAGGAAACACAAGTAACAACTACAGGAGGTATGGTGTTGGCTAAACTTATTCTGCTTGTCTCCCAGTACGGTCGACTCTAATGACCGTGGGGTCTGGGAGGCGGCCCCCTGCACAGCCCGAAGCCCGTGTGTAACTTCTACCTCCCCCAAAACTAACTACGGTCCCTTGGTATCCTCAAGGGATTGGTTCCAGGACCCGCTGTGATGCTCAAGTCCCTTATATAAAATGGCCTAGAACAGTGCAGACTGCTGGCTCTGCACCTGGGGATTTCTACCTGCAGATCGAAAATACTGTTCTCGACCCACAACTGGCTGAGTCCGTGGATGCGAAACCCGGGGACGCGGAGGGCCGACCATCTAACTATTGGCAAGTGTCTGTGTGTGAGCGGACCCGTGAAGCTCAAGGCATTCAAGGGTCGACTGAACGTGCACGTAACAAATTATGCGGCACGCCTTAAACTTACACGTCATATGCCAACTGTATCTCAATAAAACTGGGAAAAACATCTGGTGTTGAGCAGACGTGAGGCACAGCAATGAGTGGCTGACTCTGTAAGAAGTTTGCCCTCTTCCTCCCTGAGTGTCCCCCTCGCTCCTCTCACGTTATCTTGCTCACAGGGCTGAGAATCTCCCACAACCAGGGGACACTGCTCCCTCCCATCCCCCCATTTCTAGATCCACTGCCCAGCTAAGACATGCACACTGGGCGAGGCAGTCACTCAACTGAGGATCATCGCCTCCTAACTGCTTTTGGGGCAACGGGATGTGTGTACGTGGCCCGGAGCTCTGACCCCAAATCACTTTTCATTGACTTTCAATTATACTGTGAAATTTTATCCCAGGAGACTTAGCTTTACACCTGTGTTCGATTCAGGTTATTATTAAAAACAAGTTATTTATATTTACACTGAAAAGTGAGGAAGTTAATCTAGGAAGGTCATGGGCAAAAGCAGCCTCACAGAATTGATGCGTCCATAGCGGGTCACATGTGGGAAACCCACGCCTGCCTGCAGAGCCCTCTCCTCCTCTGTCCCACGTACTTGGCTAGTGTGATGAGGCCCACGTTGTTCTCAGGGTTGCTGCGGGTCTTGGAGTGACATACTATGTTGACAGCGTCCTGCTGGGCCTGCAGCCGGGTGGGTAAGAAGTCCCCGTTCCTCATGTACTCACTGTTGTCCACGCTGTCACATTAGGAGGGAGAGAGAAGACACACGGTGTAGAATGTGAGGCATTCTCTGCAGCACCAGTGACCCCCCACGTCCTTCAACACCTCCCCTGGAAGGGGCATTGTGGGCATAACACTGGCTCTCGGTCTGTGGAACTTAGAATCACTTGCATTTTTTTTTTTTAAATATATGACCAAGCCTTATCTCAGACTTACTGACTCAAAATGGCCAAAGGAGAGAGAAAAAAAAAAGTTAAATCTCCCATCCAAGTACTGACCAGGCTCAATCGTGCTTAGCTTCCGAGATCAGACACGATGCGGTGCGCTCAGGGTGGTATGGCCGTTGACTAAATCCCTTCTCTACAGCATTCCGATAAGGCTGCAATCTACCTTCCAACTATCGTACACCATAGCTGACGTACCTCGACTACCTTTTTATAAGGTGCATAAGGACATGGTTCCATAGTATAGCACATCTACTTTACACGCAGAAGGTCCTGGGTTCACGCCCCAGTGGAGCCACGGTCCATGGTCCATGGCCATGCCACCCTGAACAAGCCTGATGTGTGATTTCAGAAGCTAAGCAGGGTCAGGCCTGGTTAGTACTTGGATGGGAGACTACCTAGGAAGACCAGGTGCTGTGGGCATAAATAAAAAAAAAAAATAATAATAATAATAAAGTGCATGTGTTATTAAGTGTTGTCATGGACTCTAAGTCTGCCATTAAGATGGGAGTCTTCCAAAGGAAATGAAGAAGGCAACTTAAAAATATTTATAAAACATCTGGCAGCACCGAGTGCAAGACGGCACAGTACAATCATCTGGTTAATGTGTAACAGCTCTGGCAGCTGGACTGAACTGCAAAAATGAGGGTTCATGGATTTGGGGTCTCATCTCTTCTTCCTCCGCAACTTCTCACAATCTTAAGAATCCAGATCATAGGAAATACAAGCTCCAGCTTCCCAGAGGCCAAAAGGAGGCAGGTAAGGGAAGTGGCCACACTAGCTCCTGAACAGGAGCAGTTCTGGATGACCCGAGGTCCCTCAGTCTTTAACAGTCACCGATTCCATCTGTGCTGATGGAAGGAAGCCATGTCCTAGCTAAGATGCCTCATTTACATGGGCAAGCAAAACATGGGCTTCGGGGGCAGTTTTCCTCTTTAGCATCCTTTGCCTGGCAAGAAATACAAACCAAAAATGATGAAGAGCAGTAATTAAGAAGCTACTGCAAGGCAAGGAGAAAAGGGAATAAAGGGCAGTGTTCAGGCACAGGCTCAAATCCCTATTCTGCTACTAATTCTAAGGTCCTGAGGAAGTTATTTAATTTCTTTAAGGTCCTATAACTTCATCTGTAAAATGGGTTTTATTGTACCTACCTCTAGGATTGCCATGAGGATTAAATGCATGGAAAGTACTAGCATACTGCCTGAGAGTGAGCATGAAACACAGACTGGTTCTTACCGTCGAGGAGGTCAAGGGCTGATTCTACGGACCACGCATTATTCTTTTTTCCCTGCTACACTGTTTCTGATTATTCCCCCTTCAGAGAAGTAACTGCCTCTCTAGCTCCACACACAGTGGTGAGTCCAAATATAAAAAACAAGGGAGGCTTTGAGGATGATCCAGATGGAACAGCTACTAAGTATAAGGATTGTGGGCAAGATCAGCAGATGGATGAGGGCTGGGAGGGAGGTGTCAGAGTGAGAAAGGGAGCTGGAGAAACAGGGAGAACTGACGGTGGAGAACATGCCAGTAGTTCTCATACTCTGTTGTGCATCTGTGCGTCAGAACCACTGGGAGGGTGATGACAGTGGTGGCGGTGGTGTTAAAAACACAGATGCTTTAACGCCTGTGTATGTATCCCTAAAAAATATATTAATTTTCCCAATTTTGAACTTTGTATGAATGGAATAATATACATATTCCTGGTGACCACTTTTCTCAACATTATGTAACTTTTTCCCAACAAAAATTCACATCAAAATAAGGGCTTATGTTGTTATCCAGCTATTCTAGAAAGTCTTCATTTAAAAAGAGAATACAGACGCCTGGACTTCCCTGACTGAGAGCCTGACTCAAGCGGATGGAGAGGAGAGTCAAATAGTTGCAATTTTTAATAAACTCCTCCAGAGAATTCTGAGGAAAGCAAAGCATGAGGCCCCATCCCCACCTCAGCTGGGCTATTACAGTAGGCCACCAATACATCCCCCTGGGCCAATCTGTCCTCCTAAACCAAACCATATCAATATTATTAAATGCCATTTTGTAACAGCTCTGCTTCCATCCCCCCACCTCAGAACTTTTTCCATCCCCCCACCTCAGAACTTTTTCAACAGTTCTACTGAAAGGTTCGACCACCCTCAACTTAACATTTGTGGTCTTCTACCTGGTCCTATCTACCTTTACAAAAAAAAAAAAAAAAGTGGGCGAATCATCTTAAACCAACAACCTTATAACGAAGTCACACTAGTCAATGTCCTAACCCCTAGCCAGGCCTTGGATGTTTACAATGCAGCAGCTTTGTCCTTCCCCCTGACTGTTAAGGCCTCTCCCTCCCGACATTTGTCTAAGTCCTTTCAAGGCCTCTCTTAAATTCTTTCTTGAGGACTCCTCAAGTGCCATGGCAATTAACATGTACAGTGCTCTGCAGTTTACAGAGAACTACGTTTTGCCCACCTGTGCCGTAAGGAGAGTGGATGCTATTAATGTTCCATTTTTTAGATTGATTTCCTTCCTACGTTCTCGAGAACATGCTGCTAAGTACCAAAAAACAGGTTTTTGGATTCCAAATCTTGTTCTCTTTCTAAGATGCTCTCTCCCACAGGTTACCAGATTTAGCCAACAAAAATACAGGAGTCCCAGTTTAATTTGAATTCCAGATAAACAACTGATAACTTTTTAGTATACGTATGTTTCTGCAATCTTTGGGAAATACTTATATCTTTTTTATATATTAAAGAGTATTATTTATTTGAACTTCAAATTTAATAGGGAATCCTATACTTTATCTGGTAATGCTATCCCCCCTCTCCCAAAGGAAAACTCCGTTCTGTCTAACTGGTGATCTGTGGTGTGTGTCTGTGTACTGTTGTGTGTTATATTATATGCACACGCTTAAAAGAAACTCTTGAAATCTTGCAAAAGTTTGTGTCCTCAGCTTCTAATCCAACTCATCATAGACACTCGCCCCAAGTCTGAGACTGAAGCTAGCTCACTAGAGAAGAGCCTTTGTGTCAGACAGCCCTGAGTTTAAATCTTGGCTCCACCACTTAATTAGCTGTGTGACTTTCGGTAAGTCATCGAAAATTGCTGAGACTCGGTATCATCTGTCAACCGAAGGGCTGCTTACCTTCAAGTGTTGTGAGCTTTAAGTGAGATAAAGTAAATTAATGCCTGATACAGAGAAAGCACTCTCTAGATAGTACCTCCGAAGATGACACAGGGAAAGGGCACAGAGGCAGAGGATGAATGGGCCGGGGAAGGGATTTATGATCGCTCTCCCTAACGTCTGGGATGGGAGGCAGAAGCAGGACTCTGGCTAAAGACAGGCCCGGGCCAGTCTGAGAAGACCACGCCGGAGGCGAGAGAGGCGGCGGGGATCCGCCGGTCAAGGGCTGTCCGCGGGGTGAGGGCTGGCGGGGGCACCCGGGACGGCCTCCTCTCCCGGGCCCGGGATGACTCAGGGAGTCGGCGGGGCGCCTTCTCTCCAGGCCCAAGGCCGCGTCTCGCCCATCGGACCCCCGCCCCCACCTCAGGCCCGCCCAGCCTCCGCGCAACACGCGCCCCCGACCCAGGTCCGCCCCTCACGGGGCCCCGAGACAGCTCCTCACCAAACCATGGTGCTCTCCAACACCATCTTGCCACCTTCCTCCCTCCCGGGCCGGCTCTCCGGACGGCCCAACAACAGCCTCTCCGATTGGCCAGCGCTCTCCACCAATCACAGGCCGCGTCCCGGCCAGTCGCTTCCGCCTCTATCCCCGCGTTGCCTTCTGGGAGTTGTAGGTACCGCCCAAATTAAAGGGGCGTGCGGGGCGAGCCGAGGACAGAAATAACGCGCAGAGGACCCCCGCGTCCACCTTGCCAGTCATTCGAGTTCTCCCGTGGAGTTCCCCGCTGGCGGGGTCTGAGAGAAGCTGTGGAGAAACCTTTGAAAGTGCCGCGATTGTGTCGGCTCCAGCGCCGTTGTTTTCAAAAAGTGGTAGGTTAATTTTTTCCAGGTCCCTCTGTACCCGGTAGCACTTTGTTCATCTAACTGCTAACTCCTAAGCCCTAGCCCTCTGAATTGCATTTATGTGTATCTCTCTCTCCCGTTTAATTAAAGCAGGAAAGGTATCCATCGGTGCAATGCCTGAGCCCAGTACAGAACCTGACTCATGGCAGGAGCCCAGAAAGGTTTGGCAAATCAATAATTTTAACTAATCTCTCAAAGAATGGGAGACAAAACTAGTAAACCATGTTGGTTTGTTAATCAAGAATAACATTAAAAAATGCTTTGGATTACTTTCCACCACACCTACATACCTGCAAGTAAAACCGGAAATTCCAGGTGTCTGTCTTGGGAGAAAGAGGGGAGGATCAATCATGGCTACAGAACGCCAAATTGAAAGGTGGGGATGGAGAAGAGTACTATACATATTATCTATATGTGGGTAAAGTTTCAATGAATATGTTCGAAAGTTATTGGTAACCATCAAAGATAGTATAAGAAATAAAATCTCCATATCACTAGAGGAAAAAAAAAAGTCAATATAAGTATAGACAGGAAGGGGGGGGATAACAAAGCAGAGAAAAATAATGCCAAGTTCAAACATAACCAAAATACTTAAAAAACAATTACATTTTTGAAAGAAAAAACCCAGCTACGCAATGTAACTAGAATATGCCAAACTAAGTGAGTGACAAAAGATAAAAACAGAGGGAGAGGAAAAAAATATATCAGGCAATAGTAATAAAAGAAAGCATGTGTAGCTATATTAATAGTGTACAAAACAAACCAGCACACATAGCTAAAATCAGATCAAGAGAAGATTATTTCATAAAGTAGAAAATTCATCAACAAATAATGCCCTGGGTTAATCAGGGTAATGCAACAAGAAAGAAAAGTTGAACATCAGTGGTAATTATAAGTTAGTATTCTAAATGTATAAGTTCAACCCAAACAAAGGCACTAGGAACTGAATGAATGTCATCATCACTGTTCTGGGAAAACAGGGTCCATGATATCTGTGCAGGGAGGTGTCACCATCTCAGCTTTAGTCAGTCATTTAATAGATTGTGACTAGTTTTTAGTTACAACACTTTTAAAAGTCTATGGAGATAGTGCAAAGAATACAAAATATAATGGCAATAAAAACAGAGTGAAAATTAGGTCCTACAAGATCGATTGAACCTAGAGAGAATGGAGAATTAATACTCTCTTCAAGTAGGGAAGACTTTGTGTTAGAATTATGTCAGAAGTTTTTCAATGAAGAGAGATGCGAGTTGCAACAATGCACACAAAAGATGAAATCTGATTTCAGCAAAAACGAGATCTATAATAATTTTAAAAAGCAGTAGTGAATAATTCATTCATTTACCTGTGGGTCAGGCACTATTCTGGGCACTCGGAAGGGAACAAAGCAAAGTCCTGCCCTCATGAACCTTAACATTCTCTAGGGGAAGGCAGACAGTAAACCAGTAAGTGAATATATATAGTCAAATAATGGTGAGCACGGGAGAAAAAATAAGCCAGGGTGGATGCGGTTTCATTTTTATATAAACAGGACATGAGGGAAGCCTTACATTGAACAGAGAGACCTGAAGGATACCTGGGGAAAGAGCAAGTACAAATGCCCTGAGGCAGGAGTGTATTTTAAGAACGAGACCAGTAGAAGCTGGAGTAGAGGGAGAGGGAGAATGAGAAGAAACAAGGCCAGAGAGTAAAGAGGTTGGATCATGTACAGTCTTGTAGACCATTTTAAGGACTCTGAGTGAGATAAGGAGCTGTTGGGACGTTTTTAACAGAGGATCTGACTTAAGGTTTTAACAGGACGGCTCTGCTCTGGCTGCTGCACTGAGAACAGGCTATGGGGAAAAAGAGCAGAGGGCGTTAGACCAGTTAGGAGACTGCTTCAGTAATCAGATGATATGATGGTGGCTTATGCTAGGGTTGTAACAAGAGATGAAATTGGTGACGTATGGTTAGATTTTGAGTACATCGTAAGGCACATAACTGATAGAATTTGCCAGTGGATTTGGTGGAGGGTGTAAGGGAAGAAAGTGTTGAGTAAAAGTTGGTTCTAAGCAACTAGAAGAATGGAAGATGGACAAGGAGGGGCGGGAACCAGAACTTTAACGTGGGCCATATTAGGTTTAAGACGCTCGTTAGACATCTAAATGGAGATGTCAAGGAAGTGGGTAGATATGAGTATACAGTTCAGAAAAAAGGTCTGGACTGCAAATAAATTTGGTGATACTGAAATGTTATTTAGATCACGAGGTGAAAGGGGAGTTGGACAAAGCATACAGGGTCTTTAGACCACTGTAAAGACTTTTAAAAATTACCTGGGGAGTGAATGTAGACTAAAAGAAGGAGTTCTGTGATTGAGCCCTGGACCACTTCAACATTTAGAGCTTAGAGAGAAAAGGAGGAATCAGAAAAGAGAATGGAGATGGAGCAGCACGGGGCCTTGGTCAGGACATCCAGGAGAAAGTAGCATCCCAGAAGCCAAGTGAAGAAAATGTGTCAAGGAGGAGGGAGTAACATACTATCAGATGCTGCTGACATGACAAGTGAGATGAGGACTGATACAGTTAGCAACATGGAAGGCATCAGCAACCTTAATAAAAGCTGCTTTGGTCCGACAGTGGGGACAAAAACTTGAGAGGGAGTTCAAGTGAGAATGGGGTAAAAAAAAAAAATCACGTGAAGATACGTTGAGAATTGCATTGTTAGGCTTTTTCATTGTGCAAACATCATAGAGTGCACATACACAAACCTAGATGGTCTACACACTAGCCTGTATGGTCTAGCCTATTGCTCCTGGGCTACAAGCCCATACAGCACGTTACTGTTAGAACAACGTAAGACGTAATCAGGTGCAAGAAAAAATGATGCATCAAGAGATAGTAAACATGAGATATGTGAAGCTGCTGCTGGTATAATACAGCACACTGTTTCATAGCAAACCTTTTTTAATATCTAGAAAGAGTACACTAACAAAAATAGTAAGCACATAAACCAGTAATGGTTATTATCAAATATTATGGAGGATACATAATTATATGTGCAGGTTTGTTTATACCAGCATCACCACAAACACTGTGACATTATGATGGCTCCGATGTCGCTAGGCGATAGGAATTTTTCAACTCCCTAGTAATCCTAAAGGACTACGGTAAGATATGCAGTTTGTCCTTGACCGAAATGTCACTACGTGGAGCATGACTGTGTTTGTAAAAACTTTTTTGTAAGACAACTAGCTAACTTTGACTGCTAACTGGATATTGAGGAATTAATAATTTTAAAAAATGTTATAATGTTCTCTTATGTTGAAGTATTTATGGATGGAAGGATATGTCTGGGATTTATTTTAATTCAATTCTTTGGAGGGTACAGAGAGCAAGTGGGGGAGGGGTAGAAAGTACAAATGAGACAGATTGGCCAGATTTATTCTGACGATTGAAGCTGGATGAGTACATGGTGGTTCCCCATACTACTCTACTTTTGACTTGGAAATTTCCATAATCAAAAGAAAAAAAGGGGAGGGGAGATGGAGGAATTTAGAAGCAGTAAGCAGATGCTTTATAATGGACTTTAAAAAGTAATTTTACAGGAGATATTCACCTGCTTCTTGTGTCCTTGGAAATCTAAAGAATAAACAGTTTAATCTGGGATCTATTTTAACTGGCAAGTGTTTGCTTAAAGAATGAGATTCTAAGTCTGGCGAGTAACTTTCGGAATAGCTGAGATTGACATGCTTAAAAGTAAAACATTAGACCAGGATTTCCAGCTTTATTGTCCTGTAATTTTCATTTCCCTAACTTTTGGTTACAGAAGCTTTCATTAATAGGCCCTGCTTGCATCTGAATAGACTGCAGGAGACAGCTATAAAATGAGCAGTAGCAGCTGCTTGCCACTAGAGGCACCCTCTGACCATTAGGGTGTTTGTAGCACTCGGCAGCTGAAAGAATAAGTTGAAGAGCCAATGACAAGCCAAGGCAAGGGAAGCCAAAAGACCATTTATGCCTAAAACATATTCAGATTCAACTCCTATTAAGGAAGTTTTCTCCTCATCCAGCCTACAGAAGGGCTCAGCCTGTGGCTTAAACTAAAATTCCAAACTCCGGGAACCCCCAGTTCCTCCCTCACTCTAATCGTTCTGCCAGGAAAGGTGCTTTACTGCCATCTCAGCTCTCCCTTCCTCTCTGCTGTCACAGTCTGGACCTACATCACCTTTGATCACAGTCCAACCAGCCGCCTTTTCCCAGCTACTCTGCTAAACTTCATCAACAGATTAGTCTCTGAATTATTTTGATCATGTCCTACTTAGGGCAAAACATTCTATGGTTTCCCATTGCCTATGGTTTAAAATACCCATTTCTCAGCCCAGCAGTCAGAGTTCTCAGTGTTGCCTCCCCTGCGTTCACTGCCACATTCTCGCTCAGGTCTCCCTCCGGCAGGGCCTTCATGGTGGGCTGGTCCTTGTTCCCACACCGCCAGGCCCTCATGCTCGAGTGCAACTTTCCCCAACACTTCTAGTCCACAGTAACCTCAGATCTTCCACCTTTCTGTTCTGTACCACCCTTTCAGAGAACTGAAACCCTTAACTGTATCACATCTCACGTGTTTTGCTGTGCATGTGTGTGCAGGCGCGTGCTCCTCCTGGACACTGTAAGCTCTTGAAGGTCAATTACTTCTTTTGACCTCCAACTGCCCAGCGCACTGCTTATTAGCTGCTGCATAAATTTTTGTAGAATATGATGTATGAAAAGGAGTAATATTTAGTTAACTTGTTTTTCTCCAAAGCTCCCCAACCCACAAGTCTTAGAAGGAGCCTCACCCCGCTTCTGTCTAGTTCCATCACAGTAGAAGAGCAACCTCACAAAGAGGAAAACAGGAGAGAGCAGTCTCCCTGTCTTTCAAAGACCGACACCCGATGGCCAGGTCCCGGGAAGGGAGGGAACCCCAGGGCCAACCGATCCCAAGCTTGCTTTTCCCACTGTTCCTTTCCTCCGAAACCTGAAGGAGATTTTGAAGTTTGGATCCCCAAATCCCTCAGTTAAAGTGGCTTGCAACCAAGGTGACAGACCTACAGTAATTCCCTCCATATTCATGCATAGCGTTTCCTTGAGTTTTAAGATGAAGGGAGTAGCTGCAAGAGAATGAAACCATTTCTCTCAGCGCGAATGACACTGAAGCTGCAGCAAGGGAAACGGGAAAGGACTCAGCATCGGTTCAGGGCACCGTGAACGAAACAGCCGGGGCGGTAGGGTAGGGGGGTGGGGCAGATGGTATGTGAAAAAGAACCAGGAAGCAACAGATCTAAATAACTGATGAAAGTTTAATACATTAAAACCGGATATTTATCACTTATATTGCATTTGCCATTTCTGAACAATACAAAGTAGTGGCAAATAGTGACACTTCATAAAAATGTCGATTCCCATTCCCTTCCCTAAGACCCAGCCTCCCTCGAATATCCCCCCCAACAGAACTCTGTCCTGAATAAAACACTTAAATACATCATAAATAGTAAATTATGAAAAAAAAATAGCAGGAATTGTTTCTTTCCTTCTTGTAAAAAAGAACATGGCAGCAAAGACAGGCAGCCAGAAACTGGCTGGGGGTGTCTAATATAGACAGTTACTTGGGGTATCAGCTAGCCTACCATCAAGGTGTGGGGAGGGGGAGGGGAGCAGGGGAGTTGAACAGTCGGCCTGAGATGCCAGGCCCCTTCCTCTCCAGACAGGAGGAGGATCAGACGAGGACTGCAGCTCCTGGAGACAGGGAGGAGGATTACGGAGCCCCAGCCTCCTAGGCAAAAATCTGCGGCTCCCACAAGTTTCAGAGGACGCTCTCCAGCTTCATAGCTACCAGACTGCCTGTTGAACAGACAGAGCTGTCCCCTCTGCACCTCAGCTCCACTGCTGGAAAAATGAGAAGAGCAAGGAAGAAATCTCCTTTGGAAAAGGATCTAAAATTCATTTGATAAGTCTTCATATTTAGAAAAACCACCAGAATACATTTCAAATTGCAAAATGGTAATAATCATTACGGCCCAGCGGTGAGCAGGTTCTGCCGGGAACGGCCCCTGGCCTCCTGGACCCACGCTGCCCCGCCGTTTTCACAAAAGGGGTGAAGAGTCCCCGCTGTCCCACTCTCTCCATTCCTGCAGCCTTAAGAAATTCGCCGAGAGAGGAGAGGAGCTGCTGCAGGCAGAGCGATCCCCACACTTCTGTGTCTTAAACACCAGGGCTCGTCTGAGGGAGTCATGTGAACAGCCTCTCTGCGACACTGTGGAGTTCTGAGCTGAAATTGGCTGGCTGGAAACTGTGTGCTGTGCGCTATTTTTTTTTCTTCCCTTTTTTAAGGGGAAAAAAAAAAGGTTGGGAGGTGGTTAACACCCTTACTCCCCCCAAAACCTTTACAAAGGCCACAGGGGTCTTCTTTCAGAGAGAAAGAGCCATGGTGGGGATAACGATAACGTGCCGGCCAGTCCGTCCTGAGGAAATCAAGAGTCCAGCTCCTGGTGAAGGTAGATGCGGGGAAAGAAAACCCCCAGATCCAGCAACCCCACTTCCAGCAGGAAGAGTGGGGGTTTGAAAACAACTCGACGTGGAAGCCAAGGTCGGCCAGCTGAAAGGTCATGCTACCCAACTCCGGAGTGGACAGATGCTGCTGTCTCCAACTGTCCATGGCACTAAAGCCCAGTCAAGAGGAAGAGGCAGATGTTTTTCTCTTCAGAGAGGGAATGGAGAGCTCCCCTGGCCTCCACTATACTCCTTGGTTGGTGACTAAGAATAAAACTCAGCACTGCTGGGGCAAGAGCTGACATCTTGGGATCACAGAGATGGCAGAATCTTGTTCCAGGTCATCTGAGGTTTTCTGCTCACTGAAAAGGGAAAGGGTATGAAATTAGGGATGAGGAGCGTGAGACGAGGAGACAGGAAAGGAATCTAAGTTAATTTCAACCTGGCTGGCATAGTTCAGAAGTTTTCTTCTATTTTAGCCTCGACTTCCAAGTACGACGTACCAAAATCGAAATTTTAAAAAGCAAGATTCAAGGGACGCCCGGTCCCTCTAACCTTGCCAGTTAACACCTGGCTCCAGTCCACCAGTGCATCCTCTTTATACCCTTCAAGGCATTCACCTCCCCCACACCCCAGACACTCACGTGGGAGGAATCTGACTCTTCGATTTCAAGCTTTTCCAAAAGGGATGAACTAAAAAATAACAGGAGGGAAAAAATGGAGATAGAAGAATTAGAAGGTAAAAAAAACAACAAAAAAAACAAGGACTCTCTTCTCAAATATCGCACTGCTCTATATTTCACTTCAGAAGCAATTTAGGATTCAGAAAGAAGAGGCTAAGAAGCTACTAGATTTTAGAAGCACATTTTTTAAATTAGTTTCTTAAATACTATAAAATATTTTCCTAATATCCTTTTCTGTCTTCCATCGCGAGGTATGGCAGGCACCCAATGATCACTGCTGCCTGATATTCATGCCATTGTGTAATTCTCTCTTCTCGAGTGTGGGCTGGATTAAGTGACTTTCTTCTAGTGAAAGTGTGGGCTGTAAATTCTGAGATAAGGTTACAAAAAGACTATAGATTCCGCTTGGGCATATGAGAGAAGCTAGCGCTGTGCTGTGAGCTGCCCTATGGAGAGGACCAAGTGACAAGGAACTAAGAGAGTACCACTGGCCAATAGCCAGCAGGGCGCTGAGCCCTCAGTCCAACAGCCTGGAAGGAACTGAATCCTGCCGACACCCACAGACGTGAGCTTGGAAGCGGATCATCCCCTGGGCGAGCCTTCAGCTGTGACCACTGCCCTGGCTAAAAGCCTGACTGTGACCTCCTAAGAGACTGAGCCGAAGGCATCCAGCCAAGCCACACCTCGATTCTTCAGCCACATAAAATACAAGACAATAAATGTTTGTTGTTTTTAGCTGCTAAGTATTGGGGTCATCTGTCACACAACAACAGATAATATAGATTGTTGTACCTGGAAATAAAGTACGATTGTCATCAAAATCTAAAATGTGGAAGTGCCTTTGGCAGAGGAAATGGGCTTTGAAGGGAGTTTTAGAGAAAGTTTCAAAGAGCCTTGAATATATTGTAGAAGTTTGGACTTTAAGGGGATTACCAATGAAGGCTGAAGAAAAAGTTAGGGGGAAAAACTCATTAGAAATGGAATGAAGGGATCCTTGTAGCAGGACAAAGTTCAGCAACGATGTCATCTGCAGTTATGTGGAAAATAGTACCTGTGTCTCATAAACCAGGGGATCTTGCTGTGGAGAGTTCTCAGCAAAGTGCTGAGTGCCACCTGGTTTAACGGTTATAGTAAAATAGAAGAAAAAAAGTTAAGGAAAAGACGATTAACAAGCAGCAGCCAGCTTGATGGCTGTAAAAATCCCAAGTTTCTCCAGATAGCAAATGATGCTAAAATTAAGAAATGGCTTCTGAAAAGGATAAAATCCAGGGCACTGCCAGGAAAATGTGATCTAATGATGAAGCCGAGGGTATAACTGTAAAATACTTCTTTAAGGTCTCAGAAAAACTAAAGTTGGTGCTTCAGTGTAGTAGTCAGCCACATTTAAAAAAGGCCGTTCATGTCTACAGCCATGCTACCCTGAACAAGTCCCATCTCATCTGATCTCGGAAGCTAAGTAGGGTCGGGCCTGGTTAGTACTTGGATGGGAGACTACCTAGGAAGACCAGGTGCTGTAGGCATAAAATAAATAAGTAAGTAAGTAAATAAAGACCGTTCAGAACATGCAAAAAGATCATGTCCTGGATCCCCTCAGCAACGGGGTCTCTAAGCAGCACAGGGCCTATTAAGAAGGTATTTGTGCGTATGACTTTTGTCTAATGGAATAAATCCCAATGAGACTCAGGGGAGGCCCGCACAGCCTTTGAGAGTATAATGTCAACAGAAACATTACCGGCTTGGACTGAAAGGAACAGAAATAGTGCAAAATGACGAGAGACCACTGGACCCCCAAAGTTCTACTGGCAAGAAACAGGATGAGACAACTACGCAGCTGCAAACACATTCTGGCTTTTATGAAAAAGAAAAGCTCAGAAGGCAAAACCAAGAGTCCGGAGGACAGAGCCAAGACCGTGGAGAATGTCCCACTGGGACATGACTGAAGAAGCCGCACCCAGCAAGAGCTGTATCTGGACCCTGGGTAGCATGGGCCAGTGACTCCGCTGCGCCTCCCCCTCTCCATGTTTTGTACAGGAAGTGTACGGGGTTGCCTAACGTCTGTGTCACCACTGTCTGCTGGGTGTGTGGTGAGAGGATAGTCCGTCCCTTCATTTTCTCGGGTCCACGGACTGGGAGGAACAGCACTCAAGGAACACCACCTGGGAAGTTCATCCAAACCTGGAGCTAATTTAGATGACAAAATTCTGTACTTTGAGCTGATACTGTAATGGGATCAAACTTTTGGAGACCATGGGAGGGAATGAATGTATTTTGCTCCTGGAGGGATGTGAACCGCTGAGGCCCAGGGCGGACTGTGACAGGCAGCTTCTAAGAGGACCCCGAGGAGCCCTGCCTCCTGGTATTTGTACCACTGTGCCATCTTTTCCTCTTGAATGGGCTAGATTTAGCGAACAGAATGCAGTACAGGCGGTGAGACGTCAACTTTAAGATTAGGTGACAAAAAGACTGGCTTCTGCTCAGGCGCATGCTCTCTTGCTCGCTCGCTCTGAGGGCAGCCAGTTGTCCGAGCCACCCTACCGAGAGGCCAATGTGGCGAAGAACTGAGGGAGGCCCCCCCGCCGGCAGCCAGCAGGGAACTGAGTCCTGCCAAAAACCACATAGATGAGCTTAGAAATGAAGCCTCTCCACTCACCGGGCCTTCAGATGAGACCCCAGCCCGGGCCGACAGCCTGGTCAGCAGCCAATGAAAGACCTTAACCAGAGGACCCAGCTAAGCTGCTCCTGGATTCCTGACTCTCAGAAACTGTGGTAGCTGTTTGTTATTTTAAATCTTTAAAAGTCTTGGGATAATTTATTATGATGTAATAGATAACAAACACGCCAGGTAACAAAGTTAAATCATAATCTTTACACTGAATGCTTCCGAAAGCTTGACTATTCATTGTCTTCACTGCCCAGGAATCTTTCCAGCCTTAAATCTTAAGCCGAGACCTCTCACTTAACTCGCCAGGAGAAAAAGGGTTAGTTGGGGTATTTTCACTCAGTATCAGAAACATCTACACACAAAGGCTTCCTCCACCTCCTAAAGATGCAGAGATATCGACACTTTCCTAAATCACTAAAGATGAGCTCTCAGGAAGGTGAACCTGAAAAAAATTGAGTGAAGAGCAAAAGAGAGAGATCTCTTGGAAAACAGAGTTACAGAGATTCCCAATGACCTAAAGAGAGAGATGAGGAGACGACATGGAAACAGGAGCCAAGGAACCAACCTTGTACATAGCATCTGCAAAGTCTCTCCAACTACAGGTGAGGAAGAGGAGTCAGGAATAGGCGAGACCTCACTGACTTTCTCCAGAGGTGGAGTCTGAGGTAAAACATCAGGACGACCCAAGTGGACGCCTGGAAAAAAGAAAGGAAGAAAATCAATAAACAGAAGAGAAAATGGGGTAGGAGAAATAAAGTGAAAAAATATGTAGCAACTTGGCTTTTCCTGGACAGAAACGAGAAGCAGAAATCCTAGCAGACAAGGACTCGGAAGGAAGGAGGGAGGCAGGCCCGATCACATGGGAACCCGGCCCTGGCTCTGACCTGGCTCCACTTCCGCCTTTGTTGTCACTTGTGCCTTGAGTTCCCCAGAGACCGATGACTGGTAAGTAACGCAGGAGTTGCTGCTGGGGGCTCCTCGTCGAGAGAAAGATGAGCCAGACCGAAACTTTTTGGAAGGAGAGGGCTTCACTTCAAAACGGAAAGAGAAAGCCTACTTAGCACCCCCTCAGAAACCATCACCAAGACACAGACACAAATTGCTAGCGTCCCCAACACAAACCCGAATTTGTTTTTCAGCAAAGCAGGAAGAAGGGTTAATGCCAACAAAGACGGACCCTACGAGCACCCTTCAGAGGAAGGGACATCTCAGCTGACGTCACTTTGGGAAGAAGCAGAGAACCTAGAGAAAAGGAGACAGACATCGCTCTCCCCTCTACACACAACCTCAACGGCTTTGCTTCCACTGATGAGACGTTCTCTATTCCGTGGCTTCCTGATCTCTACGTTAACCCCGACGAAGACGACCCTCTTGTTCTACCTCCTCGCAGTATGGCGCACACCGCACCACGGTGGGACTTTACACCTCATGCTGAAAAGCCTCTGGAAGGATTTCCCCATGTTTAAGACTGCACACGCCGTCCATCCACACTGCCTCCCTGGGCAGTGCCCATGGTGAGCAGACGGGGAGGAGCAGCTGGAATTTTCCAGCGGAGCGGCACGGAAAGTTTGGAAAGAAAAACACTGGCGCTTCTGCACTGAGAAAGGTGAGGGAAGACTAAGGACAACTGCCGAGCAGAAATCAGTAAACGCTTCTCCAGCCATCTGATCCTAATCTGAGAACTCGCTACTGGAGGTGTGAACGGAGAATGAACACGTGACATCCTTCCCTATCTGTCCACAAAAGTCTGACTCTGCCTAGCTCAGCCTATGGCACGGATCCCATGCTCATTATGCATTTTTTGCAGTCCCACCAATTTCCCAGAAATGCCCCTCACCTCGATGACACATGCAAGGAGAGCCCAGGGGAAAGCAGCAACTCAGAAATGACGGGGACAAAGTGACGGACATAAGGATGGGCAGCACTCTCACGGGATGTGGGCAGAACAGGAGAGGCCTCGGGCTCTGGCAGTCCCCTAACAGCAGTGTCCTGCCCCCCATCGCTTGGAGTAAGGAAGCCCCAGGGGGGTCATCTGCTAGAAGCCACTTACGGGGGATCTTCTTGAACACTGTGCTGCACATGAAACGCTGGAATCGTTCAGCATAGAAGCTCGGGCGATGCACCGACACGGTGTCCTGCAGAGGAGAAGAGACAGCCGAGAGCTAAGCGCCAGCGGAGGCCCAGCGCGAGGACCGCGAGTCTAGGGGCTACTTTCCCCAGGCTGAGGCCCCAGGAGCAGGGCAGAACCCACGACTGAAATCGGAGGAAAAGAAACCGAGGGGCAAAGCAGAAGTCAGGGAGGCGGGAGAGCCTCGGGCTGGCTGCTACTCACCCCGTCATGTACCAGGGCTTTCCAAGAGTGCTCCAGCTTCTTAATGAACCTGCCAAGAAAAGTGTCCGTCACGCATTCACGTGGTTTTTAGACGAACGACCTTGTGTTTTCTACTTCAGCGAGTCCAAGAGGCAATGGTAACAGGAAAACATCAAGCGCGCAGCCAGGAACGCGCTCCCACTATCTCGCTGGCTTTGCAGAGTCGGGCACGGAGTGCTCGTTCCGCGTGGAGCTCAAAGCTGTTCTGGGAGGTTGACTGTCCCCACCCCCCCAACCCCCTCCCCGAGAGAAAAGGGTGGCTAATCAAGGACAAGGTTTACTGTAAAAGGAGAGTTGGAGGGCCAGACGGGCAAGGCTGAGAGAAGGGTGTTAAAACCAGCTGAAAATGCTCTGAAGCGGTAAAGCAGGCGCTCCCAGGCCTCACGGGTGCCTGACCCCTAACGTTCCCAGCTCCCCTCTCACCGCGCAGCCACCTCTCAGTGCCACAGGCAGATGGATACACTGCGCCCCTCTCATTTTGCCTCCACGGAAAAGGGGAATGTGTTTCCAGCTGCACCCAGTGCGGAGCATGACTCACCTCACAGGTTTTTCAGTCAGACAGATGGTGCAGGGCACCCTGGTGCTCTGAGCACTGACTCAGCTTCCCGCAGAGCTATGCTTGGGGAGGTGGTGGGCAGCCAGGAGCCAGGCACAATCAAGGAAGTAAACCACCATCTGACACCCAGGGAGGTAAGCAGCCAGCACAACCCACTGTTCTTGTCTCAGGGAGCATTTGGTGACAAGCCACGGGAGAGAGAAAGGCGCGGTACCCGCGCGCACCCCGCCCCCTCGTCCGGGATCACGCCTCACCTGTAGGACTGCAGGATGTCGATGATCCCGATGTACAGCAGCAGCCTCTCCCCTTTACTGTTCCGGGCGGGGATGCCGCCCATGCTGAGGAAGACAGGGGACCGTAAGAAAGTCTTCGGCTAGCAGGGAGAGGCTTCTAACCTTGAGTCAAATGGGGACACGGAGCTGAGACCTAAATGTCAACTGTCCCATCTTCCGAAAATGGGGGGAGAGCGAGAGCCTTCCTCCAGACAAAGATCCGCTCTGGGGTGTGTGTCATGACCTCCTCCTCTCCAAAGCTCACCTGCCTGCCTCTCCCACCCTGTCCCACCACTGAGAATCTAAAGTCGCCCCTGCTCAGCAGTTTGGGGCCCGCTCCCCCAATGAACTCTAAGCTCCCTCAGTACTTTCATATAAAATTTATGCCCACCAAGACACGCTCAGTTGAGAGGCACATTAAAAGACACCTTAAAAGTGAAACCACCTACAGGACACTGTGGTCTTTCAGTAACCACTTCTTTGACAGATCTATTATGGTGAGAAAGACGCCTTCCATAAAATCTAAAATAAACTGTTTGTGATAAAATTCTAATATAATTTACATACGTGTATCTGAGATTGAGTGAACTTTCAAAAAAATGTTTTAATTCTGAATAGCTCTCCTTCCCAGCCATACTACAAATCCCAAATTTAAGATCTCTTCCTTTCCTCTTCCATTCATTCTATGTTCCGTCAGCACTAATGTCGATTAGCTGCTGAATCAAGGCTGCCCCTCCCAGAAGCTGGGTCTCGTCCTCAAGAAACGCTGTGAGCCTACGCTCTCCTTTCTGGTGCCTGTGAGCCCACTCACTGGTCATGGGTCTCTATGGTGCCACCTCGCCGAGCCTCGCCCTGGATAGATTCCATGGCTGTGGAATAGAGCGCCTTCTGGGGGGCCAGCCTGCGAGTGTCCGTGGAACACTGTGTTTCACTGCTCGAGGGCTCTCGCTGGGCGTGATCTATGTTGTGGATGGACACCAGGAGGCTGTAGTCCATTATCTTGAAGCTCTGCAGCACCTAATGGAAGGGGAGGACTTTTATCAGGATCTTAGCTTTTCTGATCCAGTTGTTCTTGATGTGAGCCTCCAGGGCTGACCATGGAACCAGCCTTTGTTCCTCCTCCTCCTCCTCATCCTCCTCCTCATCCTCGAAGAGCAGATCAACCTCCTCGGTCGCCTCTCATTTATATGCCCCCATCCCCACTTTGCTTTGAGTAAACGCACATTAGGCCTCGTTCACAGGACCCTCGCTGTTTGTGCTTTCCTTTGATCTCTTCATGAAAAGACTATTATAACTCAAGGGAACAAAAAATCCACATTTGTGCTGTGAAGAATCCACAAGGAGGGTCTAGTAAAAGTATACTTTGTGACAGAGCAGATCTGTTGCAAGACCTCATATGATCAACTTCAATTCAGTTCAGTATTTACCGAATGCCTATGATCTGTAGGCACTGTGCCTGCTTATGGGGATATAAATATACTTCAGAGAGTTTCTGTCCTCAAGAATATTAAAATTTAAGAAGAAAAACAAATGTAAAAATAAATACAGTACAGTCTAATGTGTACAACAATGGACATGCTTCCCATGCCTGAAGAGCAGGAGAGGAGGTCAGAAAGTGACACACACACAGGTCTGTGAAGGGCAAGTTAGAAAAGAAATAGGTCCAAGCACATAGAGGATGGAAGGAACACTGCAAGGCCTGGAGGCGTGACACAGCATGCTGCGTGCGGGGAGGTACGATTTGGTACTATAGAACGTCAGATGCAAAGGACAGGTGGGGGAATGAGAGAGGCTGGTAGAGGCAAGACGATGACAGGTGTGGCATGTCATATTAAGGAGCCTGGACTGTAGCCTACAGTTCTCAACCCTCTTTTCACACCAGAACAGGGTGGGAAAGGGTTTACTCCCACCAGTTCCAGGAGCTCGCTTTGGTGCTGCAGCTCAACCGTGTGGTAGGTGGGTGGAAAGAGGGATGAAGAGAGTGCAGGGCTGATTCTTATGTACAGTTTGGAAAAAACCCTCCGCTCCTCTATGTCTCTAGTCCTTACAACCAAAGGAGCCAAACTACAACAGGCATTATCCTGGAACAGATGCGGAGTAAGCCAAGAAGGGCAAGGAAGGACATTACATGCGGAGCAGAGGAAGACGATCCGATCCTACAAAAGCAGCTCAAGGAAAAAACAATCAGAGCTGTAGAAAAATCAACAGGTAAAAAGGTCACAAAAACCAAAAGATATGTTAAGAAGGTGGAAATAGACAACTGCTAAACGCTTCAAAAAATTCAAGATAGGGCCGAGAAGTCCTCTCTATTTGGCATCTGGGTAGTCACTGAGGAGAATGGTTCAACTGAAGTGGTGACAGCAAAAGCCAGGGCACAGTGGGCTGAGGCAAGAATAAGAGAAAAAAAAAAGGAGAAACAGAAGGACCATTAAATGGAGACACTGAAAGAAATCTCTCCTACCTTAATATAGAAAAGGTAGGCTGATTTGTACGTAGAAAGAAAACAGCCAGTAGAGGCAAGAGCCAGAGGAGAGAAAGAAGCAAGTTATGAAGCAGGATCCTAAAGAAACAGGAGAAAATGGGTCTATAGGGCAAGGGGGACTGACCTGGAATAAGCCGGCAAGTTGGGAGGGAAGGCGATTAAAGATGGCTGAGTGTGGATGCTTATAAACTGGTGACAGGGAGAGGCCGAAGGGGTGGAACAGAATAGAGAGCTGAGATGGTATGCTGAGAAACAAGGCCGGGGTATGGAAGTTAAAAATGGTTTGACAAACCAAACAAACAAAAACAAAAAAAAGCAAACTCCTAGACACGAACAACAGAATAGTGATTACCAAAGGGGATGGGAGTTTGGGGGAAGACAGAGCGTAAAGGGGGTCAGATACACAGTGACAGAAGGAGCACACAACAGACTGTACAAATGTCATATTATAAAGTTGTATCTCTGAAATTTATATAATGCTGTTAACCAATGGTACCCCAATAAATTTAATTTAAAAAAAAGTTTAATTTAAAAAAATGGTTTGATGAGTGTGCCAATCATCTGAAATCTCTGTTGAGAGGTCGAGGAAACAGACTGATGAACAACGCTGAGGGCCCGGGTGGAGCTGGATATCAGATCCCTGTGGAGATGCCAGGGGGACACAGTTGTGTGACTCCCTTCGGCAACACCTAGCTTCCGAGTTATAAATTTAGATTTGGCAGGTAGGACCAAGATCTCAGGAATGATGGTGCTGGTAGGAAAGTAAAGCATATACGATTACAAGGCCCAGGGTGGGTACAGAAGGAAAAAAAGCCAGATGGGGGAGGATAAACAGGGAGGAAGTAAAAATGTAAAGGCACAGCAATGATCTAGTGCAAAATTTATTTTAAGTGAAGTCTGGGACATATGGAGTGAAGCAGAATCCCACAGATTTGATGCAAAGAACAACCAAGCCGTTTTAGTGACTGGGATTTTTGGTGTCTGAAAGAGAAGGAAGCAGGACAAACTCACCAGACAGTCGCGCTGCAGGGTCTTACACAGAGCATTGTACATGTCAGCATCCAAAAAGAGACCATCGGGGATGTCTTGTAGGAAGTCCAGGTCTTTAAGGGTGGGCAGAGGCTTCTCTCGCTCTTTTTGGGAAGCCCGTCGTTTGTAAGTTGAGCCCTTGAGGTCGTATTTGATATGCATCTTGACTGACCGTGGTAAGAGATTGTTCATCACCACAATCCGAATGTTCTTACCCCCCGCCTGCACACAGTACAGTCCATAGAATTTAGGCAGCAAAGTCCGAGGGTTCTGGTTGAGGTTCTGAGGGCACGAAAATAAAAAGGAAAGTTTAGCTGATTTTCACTGACACCCAAAGGCAAAAGTACTCACCCACCTTCCATGTGTTACATAGGATTCAGGTACGATCTGTATGCCCATAAGCCCACACCACATTTGTTTAAAATCTCCCAATACATCTAATGATGCGATCACCATCAACCTCAGTCACAGATCCTCCAATACATTTATCAGTCAGGATACTGAATGTATGATGAATGTAATCTTTTAGAGAGGTTTAAGACAAGACAGCGTTGAAAAAGTCTTAACTCTTAGCCCTCAGTATAGTATATTCTTGGGTGTGATGGGAGGGCAAGGAGAGTTCCCTAACTCTCCAGAACCTCCCAAAGCAATCAGAGTGAGACTGGATAGAGACTATCTAGGGAAGTCATCAACCTCATTTTCCAATCTAGGAGCTGGCCTCAGAATAGGAAATCATCGCTGATTCTCGCCTTTGGGTAGGACGGTTTAAGCCAAACAACACTTAAAATAGGACAGATATACAAAACCCCTTCGAGCCATAGAGTGGCAAAGAGATGGGGTGAAAAGCCCCAAAATGAACTATATTGAGACCGAAGCGCTGACATTGCCTGGCTGCTGCAGACCACCCCCGCCTGTCCAGCACAGGTCACCAGGTCACCAGTGCGCCTCATCCCCTCACCATGTAGTATCCTGGAAGCAGCTTCTGCAGAAACTCCGCCTCTTTATGCTGGACCGTTTTAATGATAAATTCATCATCGCTGGATACGTAGAAGAGGGAACCACTAGCCCCAGAGCTAAAGAGTTCAATCAGCGGCTCGTTGCAGAGGGAGTACTGGGGCAGAGAGAAAAGAGCAAAAAGGTTAAGAAGCCCCAAGGCCTGAAACCAACCACAAATGCGCTTCTGTTCTAGAGGAAACCCAGGGCGAGGCCACGGAGAGAGAGAGTCTTCCTTTGGGAGAATCTCTCTCATACTGGAGTCCCGGGGTGTGAGGTCTGGAAGCTTACCAAGTAATCATCAGGCCGGATACCAAATAACTCCCGAAAGTAGCGGAAAGCAACTGGTGCATAAGTCTTGAACCGGAAGTCATTGTAGTGATGAGCAGGCGTCAAGTTGCTCCCTTCGCTGTCGGGTTAAACAGAAGAAGCCATAACTTCCCAGTCTCCGTCACCTAGGGAGTCTATCTGGTAAGACACTTAAGACTTACCTGGAGGCAGACCAATACATGCCTCCTGGGAGAACAGAAGGATCGGATGAGTCAGTTACTTAGTGGGACAACACGGGAGTTAACACACAGGCACAGGGAGTAACGCTGCCTCTCATCCAATGCATGGAATTGTTTTCTAGGGCTCACTCCACAGGCCCGAGGTCATGGAAGCACCCGAAGGAATGCTCTAGAATTCCCCAAATTCTAGAGTCCCACATCACCCTGATTAAGATCAGGTCAAGGACTGGACACATGTCTAATTCGACCTGAACCCTAAAAACTGCCCTGAGGTCAACATGAAAAAGCCACACTCCCCAGGACATCACTCTGATCCTTCCCTCTGTACCTGGGGAAGAAGATACTCTCCACCACATAGAAGTCTTGCATGAGGACATCCCGCTCCGGTTTGGTGCTCAGGCTCCCCACGGTATGAGTGATGCCTAACTGAATGGCACCTTTCAAGGCTGATGAGGTTGTCTGCAAACAAAAAAGAAAAGAGAAGAAAGTTCCTATTATTAAATCTGATCACAGGATGGAAGAGCCAGGAGGAGAAAATGAAATGCCCTTCTAGCTATTCAAACTAAACTGGGGTATCCATTTGCCTATCGCCATGCTTTACACTGCAGTTTAGCCTGGCAAAGAGTGGAAGGGCAGGAAGATACAGAGTAGCAAAGGTGGTACTGTTCTAGCCAGCCTGAGCAAACCAAGGTGCCCCCGCCCATCCATATCTGTATTTGGAAGATACACTGTCTTCAGAGAACAATGGCAGGTCTCACTCCAACAGTTCCTTCACCCGGATACATTTTATTCATCTGATAGAGAATGTACCTAAAATGAACTGATATTCTGATTGGCTACCTGGCTGTAGAACCTTCAGTCCTCTAAGGCAGGGCCTAAAGAGTGGCAAAACAAACAAACAAAAGACTCCTAATTGAAGAAGAAAGCCTGAAAAGACTCAATTTCTGAGAAGTGTTTAGATTTAAAATTATCATACTATGGTCAAAACACAAAGGCAAGAGCTCCACTCTTACCATCTTGGATTCCAATCCCATGGAAAAATGTCGCATCACCTAGATCTGTGCTATTACAGCAGCCATTAGCCACATATGGCTATATATTTTTAAGTTAATTAAAATTAAAAATTCACTTCTTCAGTCTGACTGACCATTTTCAAGCATGACTACCATACTGGATAACACAGACACAGGACATTTCAGTCACTGCAGCAAGTTCTATTGGACAGTTTTGTTCTAAGTGATTTCCTTCACCCCTAACCCTCAACAGGTATTACTTTTAGCTCTACTTAGTCCTCATTGGGCATTAGAAACTCATCTTTTTATCTCAATGTTCAGCACATAAAAAAGAGCTCAATAAATGTCTGTTGAATTGACACTGGGCCTTTAGAACACATTCCTGGGGAGAGTTAGGTCCCTGACCAAGAGAGTCAATCTACGCTATTATTTGGAACAATGCAATAAAGGCAAAGGACAGACAAGAAAAATTTATGTGGGCCAGAAACAGGGCTCTTAGAAATCTTACACCCTATACCGGACAAGGTACAGATGCTAAATGGGAGGATGAACATTGTCCCTTGGGAAGCCTAAGAGTCTCCAAACTGGTCCAGGACTGACGAACCAGGACCATCCAGTATGCTTTTCTCCTGTTTTTCCTTCACCAGATCAACTTTCTCTTCTTGGTTATTATTACTATCTTTTCAATCCATTTGAAAACTCAAAAAGCAGGTGTTCTAGGCCTTATTCACCAGTTGAAACTACGTTCTTAAAAAAAAAAAAAAAAAAGCCCACAAGGAAAGAAAGAAAAACACTCAACCTGCTGTTCTATTTCTGTATCACCAAGCTAGGTGGGATCTGGCCTTCGTTTTGTATACATTCAGCACTGGAGGAAAGATAAACTTCAAGAGGCATGGTTCCCTGGAGCAAGGAAAGAAGAGCCTTGGGGACATGTGATGTGTTTATATCCAACAAGGAAATCCAACATTTCCAGCTCAGTGAGATAGCACCCAACACCAGATTTGTCTGTTAAAAACATTCTCATTTAAACATAGACATACAGATGGGAGATAGTACTTCACCTTTTGTGAAGTAAACTCTGAAGTCAGAGATGTGTAACAGCTCTTGTGCAAAAGCTTAGGCTATTAAGAAATGGGATAGAATATGGAGAATAATATCAAGGGAACAGAACTATCCCTTCTTGGAGTGAGATGAAAGGGTTCCACCCCGACATACCTTTTTATATGTTGTCTCTCCTGTGGAATCAACACCTCGGTGGCCTATTTTTTTGATGGGCATGCCAGAGGCACAAGGCGCCTAGAAAAAGAAGAGTCAAGATTAGCACGTAATTCACAAATAATACACCAAACAGCTACAGTGATAGTATATTAAACAAACCAGAGTACTCGACATATCCTTTTCAGGATATAAACATTCATAAAACCTTCAGAAGACCCACCCCATGCAAACACACCGCCACAGTGTTGCTTCCCAGTGAATTAACTGGCTCGAAGAACACAGAAGAAAACCCCCGAGGGAGACTATTTCATGTTTGGTCCTCAGAAAGATGATGTAGAAAGTAAAAACAAATATCATTAAAGAAAAGCAGAAACAGGAGGAGTAGGAAATAGCAGCCCCAGAAAAAAGGATAAACCTCGGTTCACAAAATCAAGCCAGGTTGGAAGTAGAGTTCCACAGATCCCTTTTTTCACTCGTTTCCTTTCAGAAATTACTAACCTTCAACCCAATCTGAACACTAATTGCTTAAACTGAATTCAACAGAAATGATCTAGCCACTAGTAAATGCAGGTACTGCGAACCTGGAAATTAAAAGGCTGAGGCTGTAAGACGACTCCTCTGAGAGAGGGGCCTCAGTGCCTCGAAGAGATTCCTGAGAACGTGAGATGGCTTTGTTTTCCACTCACATGACAGTCTCTGGAATAAGGATGGAGCAGAACCAGTACAACAGAGCCTGACGCCAGCACAACAGACAGGAAGATATTCTTCATGACGTCAATACTCATTAAGTGAATAAGCCAGAAGGCAAAAAGACTAGTGGAAACAGGATGTCACAATCTTAGGGCCTGATATTCAAGTATACTCTTCTCACTAAGGCCCTTAGCCGGAAAACCCTGTATAACCTCACAGATCTTGGAAGCTGTTCTACCAGAAAAGCCTAAAATTCCAGGCCAAAGGGCCCGCATTCTGAGGCCCCATCACAAACCCAGGAGAGGCAAGAAATGAGAAGAGGGCTGGGAAATACTTTATGGGAAGAAAGGTAAGCAAATAGAAAATATCCTGCACAGAAAAGAAAAACAGGAAATCAACAGCTTCTGTTTGGTTAAAAGTAGTTATTCAAATTCACTGAAGCTACACAAGCAGGAAGTAGTAACAGCAAAACAAGAGAGTGGGCTTTAGTGCTAGACTGTCTGGGTTTGAATCTCAGACTTATTAACCCCACTTATTAATGATGGGCAAGCTATGGACCCTCTAATTCTCGCTTTCTTCATCGGTAAAACATGGGTAACAACAGTACTTCCCTCACAGTTGTTGTCTGAAGGAATAAACACGAATATCTACTAAAGGGCACTTGGGTACATTTACTCTTTGGTATGCTGCATCTGGTGTATTAAAAAATACTCAATAAATGTGAGCTATTAGTAATGTCCATAATAAACTGCAACAAAAGTAGAGTTGTATAATTTCTAGTTTACCAAAGAGATTTAAGAACCCTGTCCAGCTCCTAAGACCCAAGCAGGGGGAAAACAAGGATGTCATAAACAGGAACCCTTCTACCCCAGAATCAAAGTTTTAGAATCACTGTATCGATATGAAACTTACCTCAGATGTCATGGATCTCTTGACTCCAGATACTGTTAAAACAAAAGAAAACACGATCATAAGTGTGTGGACACACACTCACACAACCTCTTATCACACACACTGAAACAATCAGGGTTTGAGTCAAACTAAACCTGACAATGAGCTCCGGCCTCTTGCTCTGTGATACCAGATCCTTTTGGATAGGTTTTAAATGTCCCTTCTTCTTCCTCCTTCATATTCACAGAGCCCTTAAGCACATTCCATTCTTGTTCTAGTCTGCCTTCTTACTCCAGTGTTCATATTTTCTCTGGGCAATATATCTGTTCTTGATATATTTAACCATCAGAGTCTGAGGGTCTCATCTGATAACATGGCAGAAAGAGAAAGGATTAATATGAAATCCCCCAAGACTAACTGGGGAGTATGAGACCTGATTAACTTTTCCTGCAGAAGTAAAATAAAGGGGTAAGGACTTTTAGAGCACATCTGTAGTGCTTCACTCTATTAACTATTTCAGAAAAAAGGTGAAGAGTTGATCTATGGAGATGAAGAGACTGAGGAGGAGAAAATGCAATGTCGAAATAATGAAAAGGCATTCAGTGCCGGCAGAAACTGATTCTGCATCGCTCAGCCTCAGCTTGATTTCTGCTGCAAACTCAACAGGAATTTGTTGGCATTTACATACTAAAGTAAGTTTTACTTACTAAATACTTAATCAGAGTAGATGTGTAAGACAAGTGTATAGTTAAATCTCGTAATTATCATTTATGACTTTTATCTATTTAACTTTAGGAACGATTTCAAGAATAAGTATGTTTAGAAAGTGACTAAAAGAACGTATCTATAGAAAAATCTACTCTGAAAGGGTAAATCAATTCTTAAGGGTTTGCCACTCCCATAACCTTCATCCATGATCACACTGAAGACACATGATCACTCAGGAAGACAGACCTGCCTTCTCTTTTTATCCTGGAGAATGTTGGCCTTTATTCAAAGTCTATCAGTATATCACTTCAATCTAGCTCTAAAGAATTCAAAGGGAATAAAGATTAGCCATATTAAAGAAAAATAAAAAGGAGTCCAAATGGGATGAACCTTCGATAATATAAGTTAATACCTGAGGAGAAATACCAGTTCCTGTATAAAGATTAATGGTGAGACACTTAGGATTAAGGGCCATCAGATAAAGATGAGCAACACCGCCATCTATTATGACTGTTTAGGACAAACTGGTTAAACACCCTGAGACCTTCAGAATACAGCTGAGCTCAGAGGAGAGGCTATGATATGACAGCCCTCAGTGCAAAGGCCGAAGACCAAGTACTTCTGGTACCAACAAGCAGAGCAGCAAATTTTATTCCTTGTGGTGAGTCAGGGTGACCAAAAAAAAAAAAAAAAAAAGAACAGATGGTTTTCATTTCTCTTTCCAAAAAAGAGGCAAGGAAATGTCACCTAGCTGTTAGGAAGACATTCTGCATAAAATGGCCCAGAAAACTGGAAAAACAGCCGAGTCCAATAATCTACACTTTTTGTAGGATGCTTCTTCAACAAGGTCGACTTCAGCTGGGTGAAAAACCAGGTCAACCAGGACTGGAACCCCAAGGAACAACAAGGCAAGATGACTCAATTTATATTAAAACTGCTACTGACTTACTGCGAAATTTAAGGTGTCCACCAATAAAAAATAGTCGAAACTTCTTATCTCACAACTTTTTAGATAAGAACAAGTCAACAAGCTGAGCTATTTAAATATCAGAAGACCTGGGTTCAAATTCCTGTTATAGCAGGTAAATTGTTCTCTACAAATAACTAAAAAAGGAGAGAGAAACCTGTATCAGAAGGTTATGTAAAGATTAAATGAGATAAGCTAAATCAAAGTACTTTATGGGCTGTAAAGTGCCAGACATGTTGTTATACATGATTTCTAATGCAAGAGCAAAGGTGGGCTCACAGCAAGGTTTAATGTTCAATTACCTAGACCTTTATGAAATTCTAATTAGCAGGGCAAAGTACTTGGCTCCTCCCAAACCCCTCAGCCCCACCCCCACCCCACCGGCCCCATACAAGCAGCTTCAGAAAATGATTCTCAAGGAGAAAATGTATGCTTTCAGTAGGGAAGACAAACACTGATTGTGGACTTCTTGGTTTGGAAGGGATCTGGCAGAACCAGAGAGCCAACATCCAGTCCTAGTCTGACAGTGTCACCTTGAAAATAACCTCCTCCATGTGCATGGAGTAACTGGACGAAGTTAAACAAAGGGGTGCGGGGGGCGGGGAAGGGGAGAGATAAGTGATTTCAAGGCAGAGATTAGGTTTGGGGCTTTCTTACTCCCTAAAAAGTTCAACTTTGCTACCTTTCCTGGTTTTACACATAAACATGTAGCTCTAGGGCCACCGACTTTTGCAAAGTACCCAGAATGAGGGTGGGGGTACTTCTTAGTGGAACTCTGATGCCAACTGCTTAGCTATCTTCAACTATAAAGCTGAGATTAATCCCAATAACACTATAGCTGAAGCAGTTAGATACTGGGTGTAAATAATAATAATCAGACCAAGTAACACAGGGAAAAGGAGAATCCAGACCCAAGAATAATTTTCTTCCTTGCCTGAAGTTTTGGCCCGTAAGCACAGATCAGAGCTCCAAACTACCAAAGTAGAATGGAAGGGAAGAGAAAAAGACCTAAAGAATTTGACCAAGGTTACTCTAGGACATGGTTCCATACTGTAGTGGTTAGCACGTCTGCTTTATACGCAGAAGGTCCTAGGTTTGCGCCCCAGTGGAGCCACGGCCCACGGTCTACGGCCATGCCACCTTGAACAAGCCCGATCCCATCTGATCTCGGAAGCTAAGCAGGGTCGGGCCTGGTTAGTACTTGGATGGAAGACCAGGTGCTGTAGGCATAAATAGTAATAATTAAAAAAAAAAAAAATGCTCTAATACCCAGCTTGGTCCAGAAACTCAACAGACGAACATAGTGGCATTTCAGGGAACCAGGTACCGTCTGCTAAGGGCTGTTGACCAAGTGGCCCAAAGCTTTGCCAATGAGAAATCGTCTACTGAGGAAGTCCATTAAGTACAGAAAAGAAAAAGAAAAGCAGAGAGAAGGGAAGGAGGAAGAGAAGTGGAAAAAAAAAAAAGAGAGAAAGAGAAGACCAGCTGAGCATATTGACACTGGCTCGGTGCTGCCATCCAGCCGATGCTTAAGAGGAATGAGATTCAACCCTGTGGACAAGACTGGAATATTATTCAACGGAAATTCCGTTTTCTAGCATCTGTGTGAAACATACTCTCTGATAAGGATATTTTATCATTTTATAATCCATATCCATGATCCACACATATCATTCTCTTTTTGGGTAGGAAAATTGAGCAGAGGGCAGAGTTCCAATGTGAAAATTTACTTTTCTCAGGGAAAAGGCTTTCTTCTGAGAAATTTGGGACCCGCCTCTCCCTATCTAAGTCAAAACTCTGAAGTATTATTAGTATGCCTACACTGTCACCAGTCCACACCAGGAAATGTGGCCTGTGCTACAAGTAGAGCACTTTACCCAAGGGTAGCTCTAGACAGCCTGGCTATAAACACTGTAGAAGAGGTCCCAGACCAGCTTGCCCTCACTGGCTCAATTTTAACACATCTCAGGACCAGTTCAATGTAGCTGCTCCCCTCCGTTCATTTATTCAACAACTACTTACTGATCATCTGCTATGTGTCAGGAATTACGCCAGGCACTCCGGGTGGAGCTATGTTCCTGACCCACTGGAGCGCACAACAGTTCCGCTTGTTTCTCCATCACTTGGGCATCTCCACGTTCTCCTATTTTACCTTAATGCTGACTAGAGGACTAAACTGAAATGCTGACATGTTTTTAGCAGGAAGGCTGTTTCTTTCCACTGACCGATTTATATTTTTATAAATATAAATTTTAAAACCTTAAAAACGTATCTCGTTTAGCCCTCAAAACAACACTACAGAGTGTGGGAACTGTTTTAATTAAAGACTTAAGAAACATATCTACCAAATACAATGTGTGAAACTTGTCTGGATACTGATTAGAAAATAAGCCCAGAAAGATTTCTGAGACAGGATCTTTGAGAAATTAAATAACTATTGTTAATTTTGTAGCTGTGACAATGCTACTGTGGTTATGTTACAACTCCCTCTTTCTCTCCCCTGCCCCCTCCCCCAGCTCCAAGAGGCCTTATCTGTAGAAATACATTCTGAAGTATTTATGGCTGAAATCGCATAAGGAACTAAGTTTGCTTTAAAATATCCCAGGGGGTGGTGGTGGGGGCCTGAAGAATAGATGCAACAAGACTGGCAAAACGTTGCTGTTGAAGCTAGTTGATAGGTACATGAGGTTCATTACACTATCTCTACTTTGTACATGTCTGAAGATTTTTATAATGAAAAGTTCAAGAAAAAAATACCACAGAAGGAAAGAAAGCAATATGGATAATCAAGCTTCTTCATCTGAGCTGGCTTCTTTTTGTGAGGTTTTCTCTAGTAAAAGTGAGCATCAGGGATGAAGTTCTAACAGTGAAATTGTTTTTGTAGTTTACTAACTTCACCATTCATGTCCACAGTTTGTTTCTTTCATGATTATGGGATTCCTACTTATTAATGGGCCCTGGACCAAAAAGCATTCTTAACAACTAGCAAATATTGCTCTACTGGAAGCAAAGAATAAAGCTATGACAAACAAGTTGCATCAGAAAAAATGATTCAAATAACGTATTTCTGAGTGTGTCAATAGATGATACAGAGCCAACCATGGTGACTTCGAGGCCTAGTTCCTCTGCAGAAAGAAGAAAATGTGAAAGACCTAGAGAAGCAAGGTGTATTCGCTTTGGGAATTTTTTCCCCCCACCTAGCTGGGGCATGCTCAGACTGGCTGGAATCTACACCTGTCAATGAAAGCTGTCTTTTAAATAAAACGAGTGGAGAACTTAGCTCTTTTAGCCACAAGTGAAGCTACTGGCCCATTTTCAAGCTAACAACTCAATAACTACTTATATGATGAAAAAAAATCATTCGGAAAGGGACTTTAA